TTTGAGTTCACATGTAAGAAGAGAAAGTACAGGTATTTGAGTTCAACATGTAAGAAGTAGAAAGTACAGGTTTGAGTTCAACATGTAAAAGTAGAAAGTACAGGTATTTGATTCAACATGTAAGAAGTAGAAAGTACAGGTATTTGGGTTCAACATGTGAGAAGTGAAAGTAAGGTATTTGAGTTCAACATGTGAGAAGAGAAAGTACAGGTATTTGAGTTCAACATGTGAGAAGTAGAGAAAGTACAGGCATTTGAGTACAACATGTGAGAAGTAGAAAGTTCAGGTATTGAGTCAACATGTAAGAAGTAGAAATCACACACACACATCGTCAAACACTGAGGTCACACACACAGTCAAACACTGAGGACACACACACACAGTCAAACACTGAGGACACACACACACCGTTAGGCCCAAAGACAAAGCACTGAGGACACACACACACCGTTAGGCCCAAAGACAAAGCACTGAGGACACACACACCCGTTAGGCCCAAAGACAAAGCCACTGAGGACACACACACACCGTTAGGCCCCAAGACAAAGCACTGAGGACCCCACACACACCGTTTAGGCCCAAAGACAAAGCACTGAGGGACACACACACACCGTTAGGCCCAAAGACCACAGCACTGAGACCCACACACACACCGTTAAGCCCAAGACAAAGCACTGAGGACACACACACACCACGTAGGCCCAAAGACAAAGCACTGAGGACACCACACACACGTTAGGCCCAAAGACAAAGCACTGAGGGACACACACACACACGTTAGCCCAAAGACAAAGCACTGAGGACACACACACCGTTAGGCCCAAAGACAAAGCACTGAGGACACACACACACCGTTAGGCCCAAAGACAAAGCACTGAGGACACACACACACCGTTAGGCCCAAAGACAAAGCACTGAGGACACACACACACCGTTAGGCCCAAAGACAAAGCACTGAGGACACACACACACCGTTAAGCCCAAAGACAAAGCACTGAGGACACACACACACCGTTAGGCCCAAAGACAAAGCACTGAGGCACACACACACCGTTAGGCCCAAAGACAAAGCACTGAGGACACACACACCGTTAGGCCCAAAGACAAAGCACTGAGGACACACACACACCGTTAGGCCCAAAGACAAAGCACTGAGGACACACACACCGTTAGGCCCAAAGACAAAGCACTGAGGACACACACACACCGTTAGGCCCAAAGACAAAGCACTGAGGACACAGGAACAGAAAGGGAACTCACGTCGTCGTTCCTGAGGAAAGCCGGGCGCTGGAAGCACTTCAGCAGCAGATCCATCATCTGCTTGTTGTCTTCTGACGTGTAGTCCAGACCCAGGAGAACCTCCCGGAGACTCCACACTCTCTGGATCTCTGTGCCCTGAACACACAAGCATTTCAGATTCAAACTAGAACGCTCCCCCTTTCCCACAGCTTCAGCCTGGATCTAAACGAGTGTAGTGTCTTCCACAAAGCCTTTTAATAATGTCTAATGTAGTCGATAAGCTCTACGACCGACTGTGTGATCTTACAGTGACGTGTTCCCATGCTTTAATGTTCAAAAAGGTGCCGTAATACTGACCGGTTTCTTCAGGTCGAAGCTCTTCGTCAGAGCGATGATCATAGCGCTGCGACCGAACGTTTCCTTCTCCTTCAGATCTTTCTTCCACCAGGCGTCACACAGTCTGAGGATCTGGAGCTGCAGCGGAGCCTCGGAGACCGGCTGCAGCTCCAACAGATCTGAGAGAAACACACAGTAATATGAACTGCTGTGAACATCCTGGATGTCCTCCTCCAACATGAGAGTCACATGATGACAGAGGTATCAACTGTAGCTGTGAACATGACAGGATGTGTGATTACCTAGAAGAGCATCAGGACTGTTTGAGGCAGATGATAGCTATGTGATTAACATGAGGATTCAGCCTCTATGGAGAGAGACATCAAGCATGCTCATTTCTGACGTGGAGCTAATCTGAAGTAAACATTGAATACTGCTTTCTATTCCTCCATCTTGTGACTGTGTAACTCCCTCTCTTGATATCAGCATGTGAAGGACACTGTTCAGGAACTAGTCTCTGTATGTGATGACTACTTCCATTCTGGAGAGGATCACAGACACATGGATCCTGAGATGAAGCTCAAGCCGGGGACCAGGGAGAGTTAACATTTAAGTTTTCAGAAAAAGTGAGATTTTTGCAAAAAAAATGCAACATTTTGTAAAAAAGTCAAAACATTTGTAAAATAGTCAGAATTTAGAAATTAGTCAGATTTTTTAGGAAAAAGTCAGAATCTTTAGAATTTTGATATTTTGAGGAAAAAGTGAGAATTTTGAGGAAAACTGAATTTTAAGATTTTGAGATTTTTTTTGTTGAAAAAAGTCAGGATTTCCAGAAAAAAGCCAACAAATGCTCTGTATGTGATGACTGTAAAGGAAACTTCTGTGTAGCATGCAGTGGAGTCACCGACTCAGGAAGGAGACACGGGAAGAGTCGGAGCTTTGATGTCAAACCACTGTGATTTATTTGGAGTTGGTACCAGAGTATTCACATCACAAGTCCAAGAGTCAGAGGTTCTGACTCCACGGTAGAGTTGCCACGTCAATTCTGGAGAGCCTCTCTCTTGCCAGCCCATCTAACTGGTTTCGCAGAGAGTAAACAACATATTTGAGGAGATAGCCTAAACAGTGTGGGAACACTGAGCTACTTGCGTCGGACACTTATGACCTCGAAGATTTCACCTTGGAGTCCACAAATACAGAGAAGGAAGTGTCCCAGTGTACCCACAACACAGACCATCTGTGACCCAGTATGGACCGGTCACAGAATGGGAACAATAACATTATTGGCTAAGCAGCCTGTGTCCTTAAAGAAGGTAAACAGACATCGAGGTTTGTCCTGTATGTTACAAATTGGCGTCTATGATAATTATTTCCATAACAATGACTACTTCCATTGTTGAGAGGATAGTGAGTACATGGACCCTGAGGTTGAAGCTCAAGACTTCGAACATAAACCACAAAACAACAATCCACCTGAAGACAGGAGAGGATTAGAGAGGACTCTTACCATGCAGCCTGTGGATGATTTCCAGAAGAGAACTGTAGGTTTCTCCGTCCTGCAGGACCTTTAGGGACTCAGCAGCCACCAGAGTCACACCGTCCACTACAGACCTCACGTGACTCTGCAAGAACAGGGGAGAAAACTGGATGTTAACCAAGTTTCTAGGAACCAAAACGCTGCGAGAACAGAACTACAGTGAACTCACAGGGTCTGCAGCTGCCTCCACCTCCATGGCCTCCTCTCTCCTTTCCTCACTCCCTTCCTCTCTCCTTTCCTCCTGCAGGACGTCCTGGAGGAGAGAGGACAGTTTCCCCCACAGCGTCTGCCTCTGGTCTCTGTTCATCTCCTGCAGAACTTCCTCCACATCGAAGGGCTCCGTCTTGTTCCTCTGCTCAGAAAAACAGAATCAATAGAATTACTTTAATTATCTCCGAGGGAAAGTGGCTTTTATGACAGTTATTCAATTGTATTAAATATAATAGCGACACTCAGATGAACGAGACACTAAACACTAGATCTGTGACTAGAATAGGGCTTTTTATTCCTAGTAGTAGATAGCTTAAAACAATACATTTGATCCACTTTTGAAAAACTATGTATTGAGTAAAATACACATTGAAATAGCTGCTAGATTGTATGTGCTTTATTTACTTATTTGGGTTCTTTTGATCACTTAACTAACTAAAGCTAACTTCGGGCTCTATATATGTGATGTTAACGTATAATATACATTAGACAATGAAAAAACAACAATATTTACAGAAACTCTTCACAACTTGCATTTAGTTTCCAGTTTAGATGCAGTGATGCAGTCCTGCAGGTTATACGTTAGCCAAACAGTAAAAACCTTTTACTGAGTATTTCTGTCATTTGAGGCTTTAGTTAATTGTGCTATTTTCTAAATAGTTAGCATGATATGTGGATTTTACCATATCAGCATGTCATGTCTATTTATAGTAACTGTGAGTGTTAAAATAAATGCAGTGGATTAAAAAGTACGACATTCACATCTGAAATGTAGTGGAGTAGAAGTACTAAGTAGCATTAAATGTAATTAATCAAGTACAGTTCAGTACTTGAGTAAATAAACTTACTATTATACAAGTATGACATTAACATCCGGGACCTTTCTGATGTAGTTGATATGGAGGTTATATGAAGTTACTCACATGAAGCTGAATAAAGCGGAGGAAATCGTCCACATTCTCCGTACAGCAGGACTTTAGAAAAGCCTCTCGCTTCGACATGTTTGTGGTTCTCCAAAAGACGTGAAACAACACCAATATTCCTGCAATAAACACACAGAAGAGCAGCTAAATGCTAACGAAACTAGCATCACAACACCAGCGACAGAATCAAAACAAACGGCTCAGTTAGAATTCAGCGTTAAAATACTTATTTTCACACGGCTTTATAAGACTCTAATCGTTGCTACTTATGTTAAAGTGTATTGCGATTATTAAAAAGTATGACATACGATCCAAAAGCGTCTACAATTACCTTTGTATTAATAATTCTGTGATCCGACAGCCGCTGAACGACAGCCTGCCATAAGAGCCCGCGCAAATTCGGATAAAACGCGTCATGACTTTTACGTAAACGTTGACGCTGTGACGCTGACGTAAATTGTAGTTCTACGTCTTCTTCTGTAGTTCTTGTTCTTTTGATGGTTTTTAGAGGCGTTGCATGGCCGCCTCCTCCTGGATAAATAATTAACTACCTTTTCCAACAAAAACTATTATAACTAAGGGTAAATACTAATGAAGGGAAATTCATTAAACATAATTAAGCTAAACTATTTTACAACTATTATCCTGAACGAGTATACTAGGCTGCAGTCGAATAGTCCAAAAAACAGCCCCTAGTCAATTCCTTGACCTCTGTGTGAAACGTCACGGGGTTAAGGAATAGTGGGTAGGAGAATTGTATTTATGATGCGCCAGAAACGGACTACTATAAGCGCATCATTAATAAGCGCTGTTATTGTGTTGTTTTATGCTTTATGGACGTGTGCAACAGCGAAACATATGTTGTTCATTAAGGTTGAAATTAAAACAAATAAGTAAAGTGAAAGAAAATCACATTGATAATTGTTGCTCACACTCAGGGACGATCCTAGTCGGTGGGGGCCCTATAGGCAAACATTCACTGGGGGCCCCTCGAACCAGCTTTTCATCACCACGCACAGCCGACAGCACCCACGGTTTAGGTGTGGAGGACGCTGATGTCCACCCCCCCCCACCCCCACCCCCACATCAGCGTCCTCCACACCTAAATGATTGTTTCCTTTTATAGTAAGTATATGAATGGCTTTCTTACATCATTCATTGTTTTTAATATGCAATCATTCCCCATAAATACATGTTAGTAATGCACGTTATTGTGTCTCTTGCGGTGCAGGTTGCTGGATTGTTGCTACTCCTGCTGCAGCAGCATGTTCCAGTTTGAAGCAACTCCTTAAGCTCCATCTTTTTCATTTATGTTCACCCCCTGTTGTGTTGTATTTTGCTCATGTTTATTTGTACACACGACACCTATTGCACGCCTGTCCGTCCTGGGAGAGAGACCCCTGCTCTGCTGCTCTCCCTGAGGTTTCTTCCCCCCGTTAAAAGTTTTATTTTTTTGGAGAGTTGTTCCTCATTGGCTGCAAGGGTCTAAGGACAGAGGGTGTCGTACACTGTACACATTATAAAGCCCCCTGAGGCAAGGTTTCGGTTCTTAAATAAACATTTGGCTGATATATTTCACTGGAGTGGGTCTGTCATTTTGCATTCAGCGTTTGTCATTACACAACACTCATTATTTGGCATTTACAGCAGACATATTGTAAGAATTGAGAAGCCTCTAATGTGTCCTGTTTTTATGACAGAGCAAGGATGCACATGGAGGCACTGACCGACTCATTATTCCAATTAACATGTGACAGGAATTCATTCTGTAATAGCAAACGTCTCATTACCAACAAGCCAATGTGGAAGTTATTAGCTCACAATGCTAACATGCTAAAGCTACTGTCCCACAACTCTATGCCCCCCCCCCCTCAGAGCTACAGGTCTCAGGTTGAGGGACCCTCCTTTCCCAACTTCAGCAAGGAAGACCCCATGACTATGGTTGGAGTCGGGAGGCCTGTTAATTTATTCCGGCAATAACTCAGACCTACTAATTGACCTACCAGAAGCTATTGATTCTAAGTTTCCTGCTCGACTCAGATCCACCAACGTCAGCAAGGTCTCACCTCTATTAACTCCTGAAGAACCAGGTTCAATTAACTGCTGTTTCAGTTCAGAAGACTCTCTAAATCTGTGTAAGCGATCCCGAAGGATTTTGGTATCAGTAATGCGGGTGTGGTCCTGCCTAAGTGTGTAGGGTGCAATCTTACCTTTAAGCAGGAGAGGACAGCGCAGATTTATTTAAAGTTCTCCCAATCCAAAAAGGTGGGATGATTTTATTTGAAGAAAATGGTCCACACTTAAACAGGTTTTTACCTTCTCTCGTTACAATATGACAATCATACAAAACATATCATGCTGTGGTACTTTTCTAATATAAAACCTCAATTCAGTTTCACATTTCTTACACTAAATTCTAACTTCAGCTGCCCTCTTCAGTTGAAACATTAAAAGTGTAATCTGACAGAATCCAGAGGACCTCCTCATGAATGGTCGGTGCTAAAAACACATTCAAGCTTTCATTCAACAATTCACCAATCAATCTGAGAGATCTTACCAAGTTGAGAGAACCTTCCAAGGAGAAGCCCCACTCTGGAGCTTTCTCCTTTAAGAAGGGCCTAAAAACCTTTCTTTTAAAAAAAATCCTTTTATTAAACTTGTGTTTCTTTAAAAAATAAAAGTATATGATGCCCCTTGTAGCACTTTGAGATGACTTTTAGCAATGAAAGGTGCTTTACCAATCAAATGCATTATTCTTATTATGATCATTAGGTTGGACACTCCCTATGCAGGAGCCATCGGATGCCCCCCAGAGTCTCTTCACCCCAACTGGACCCCCCGATGCCGAACTCAGTCGTCAGGTGGACAAACTCTGGCATATAGGTGTCCTCTTTCAGGAAGAGCAAAGCATCACCAGATCCAAGAGCCCCTCCAGTCCAGTGGACCCCCTTCCAGTAGCTCATTGGCCGGGTCCTGCGTCCCACTCTCAGTATGCAGATATCCGGATGACCTCATCGTTCAGAGTGAGATGTTGGGGCAGGTAAAGGCGGGGCTCCAAGCTGACCTGAAGGAGAGTGAGTTGGGGTATCTGGGGTCGATGGAGTCTCCTCTTTGGTGCCGGGGTGGGTGGGAGGTGGTGGGAGGCAGCAGCAGGTGTATGAGCAACACATCTTTAAGAAAAGCTTTAAGTACAATGGATTGTTGTTGTTCATTTCATATTGAGGAGAGCTAACAGGAAGTCTCTCATCAGCTGCAGTCTTCTTCTGTATTTTCCAAAATGCCTCCACGCTCCTCTGGACGTCTCGAACTCGCCCCGTGATGAATAAACTGAGAACAAATCAAACCTGAGCTGCAGACTTGTCTGGAACACCAGAAACACACTGAGCAATAACTACATTTTAATTAAGTGGTAAAACCTCAGTAAATAAGCTTCACTTGGTACGACCTCTCACCTTTCTGTGTGTCTTCACTTCCTGTCACCTGAGAGGAGAAGGAGAGAGAGAGAGAGAGAGGATGATGATGATGAAACAAAGAGAAACAGCCAGAATGATGAAGAGTGTTGTTTTCCTCTGAGCTCATGCTCCATGAAAGAGTTTAGTATCTGGATGAATGGAGGACATGGTTTCAGTACTCACAGGTCTTCTGGATCGTGGCTCTGATCGGCTCTCCACATCTGATCCTGTAGAGATGAACACAACCCAACAGCTTGAGATCCAGTTTAAATAAGTGTTGGTTCTTTGAGTCAGCTTCAGAGTCCTGATCTCATGCTCTACATCCCATCATATCCTCTCTGCAAACACTACGACTGCCTGCCACAGCTCTCAGCTGACAGGAAGTAACCAGTCATTGGTGGAGAACAGGGGGGTCCAAACTCTTTCCCCCGAGGGCCTCATACAGAAAGAGATATGAAGGTCTGGGCCGCTCTCTAGAGGTATGTTGCCTCATGAGTTCAGTTATAAGTCAGAAACCTCAGATGAAGGTAAAGGATGCTTGTTACTTGAAGATGCTTTCAGAAACAAACGGCTCTCAGCTCTCCAGAGGGTTCACTTTATTCTGTCAGCAGCTCATTCCTTAAAGCAGGAGCTTCACATTGATTATAATCACAGGAAACATGAAGGCTCTATTTCACGCTTGTTATAAAAATAAGTTATTGGGCTTTTTTCTTATCAAGTTAGATTTGTTAGAACATGTTCTCAGCTTTAATTGAGTGAATTTATTTTAAAGGTGGGATTATGAACACATGAATACTACTGTGTAATATACAACCCAGTCTCACGGCATTTCGTGTTCACCAACACGATTTGTAATCTATTGATTCGTGTTCACCAACACGATTTGCCCCTTTTTTTCGTGTTGCACAGCACGATTTTAAAAGCAATGTATTTCTACTGCCTGCAGCACGTCTTTTTCTCCGGTCGGCTCGTGGGAGACCGGAAGCTGTGTGGTTCATAAAAACATGTTCTTACTCAATATCAAGCCACAGTTATTGCTTTTATTTGAAATCGTATAATTTTGGACTTTTGTTCCCGTCTGTGAGGAAAATAAATGGCTCAGAGCCTCAGGATACTGAAATCTGTATTTTTTAAATCTTTGTTTCCTTCTAATTTGTTATTATTTTCAAAATAACACACTGTTATTTACTCACCAATAACACACAATTATCTTTGCTTTTATTTATTGGTTTAATTCCATAATCTCGGGCTTTTTTGGCGTCCGCCAGGAACTGAATTTCAAAATAAAAATAACCGGAAACAGACATAGGCATTTCGAGCGATTACCCAAGATCCTCAGCTACGCTGATTGGATGTTTTAGCCGCAATGCATGCTGGGATTTGGTGTTTATATGATATGAAATCCGGAAAACATTTTAAAAGAATAAAAGAATACTTAATTCCGAGCGCTCTTGCTTTTCTCTTTGAAAGTCATCACATAACGGCATTGTAATACACGGTTCGGCTGCATTACATATTACAGATCTGCCGTAGTTCTTTATTGATAGACCCCTGATCAGAAGACCTTTGGAAAAACTGAGAAAATGCCGCCGAAACTGAATACTTGACGTGGATCATAAATATATTCAACAATTAAACAACATCTTCAATTTCTCTTCACACAATACGTCTCCTTGCAGTATCAACACTAATTCGGCTGACTTTTATATTTGATCTAATTCACAGATAGGTTATATTTACACCATAACGGTGCACAGCTGATATAAAAGGACTGTAGTTTTTAAAGATATTACTGATTTTCTTTGAATGTAAGAATGTAAATACTGAGTCTGAAATAGTATAGCAATATGCTGTACAATTATGTGAAAGCATGCATAAAACTACACATCTTCAGTGTGTACATTTATAATACAAAGTTATTATGGCTGTGTGTACCTTGTGTTTACCTCCTAGTGGTTAAAGCACGTTATTGAATTATTTTTATATTTGATTAAAAAAATATTAAGAGTACATACATAGGGGGAAAGTATAAATATAGAATGTAAAAAATCAAGAAGATACTATAAAGTGATCTCTACAATAAAACAGTTTAGTGCAGAATGTACAAAGATATTAATAGGAGGAGGTGCAAAACAGAAAAACGAATGAACCTTTATTTAAACATTAAATAACAGATTAAGGTCTTCTTTTAAATAAGAAAAAAGCTTTGGGGGTATCTATCTACAGATAAATATTAAGCCTGACAAAGTACTTAACGTCTAATATATTGCTTTCCTGCAATGTTAACTATGTTGAAGCACTTATTTTAACTGATATTATACATATGAATTATACTCGTATGTAGATAGAATAAGAAATGTGCAGAATATGACAGTTTGATGGTGGAGGTACACACATAGTGATAGATGTCTTGTTGAGGAACCTGTGACCCAAGTGTTTCATTCATTGCATAACTACACCGTAGTTGTGTATATGATATGTCAATAACCCTTTGAAAATCTTGAAAGGGATGTGCAAAATAGCCATAATATACAGTCGTTAATTATTAGTAGAGAATAACGAGTAATGAATATACTTTATTACTCGTTTCCATTCATGTCAATTGCAGATACATGTTTAGTCTTCTCAAGCACCAACTATCAAATATCTCTCCTGATTGTTGGCACTTGACAATCACCTTCCCTGAATTTTACTCAGGTGTAACTAAAGTCTGATTTAAGGGTTGTTTATATTTCACATCATTAATCAGAATCTGCAAAGTAACTCAAATAAATGCAGTGGAGTAAAAATACCAGGTTAACCTCTGAATTGTAGTGGAGTAGAATTACAAAGTAACAATGAGCTGTCATGTGGGTATTAATGCTGCGCATTATGGACACAAGCGATTTTCACCCATTTATTAATGATATGTTTTACATTTGATAACACCAATGTGTTTAATACTGGCAGCTTCTAATTGTGGGGAAAACGAAAACGTTCAGTAGAGACGTCCCATAGAACATTTTGCAAAACACAATAGTGTAGTGTATAGTTCTGGGGGGGCGTTCGATTCCAGTTTTGGATAGTCTGGCGTGGTTTCGTTCCATTTCACACAGCTGTTTGACGCTCTGCGTAACCTTACGGGACTGTAGTCCTAAACGATAGCTGGGGATTATGGGTAGTGTAGTGTCTTCGGCCATCCTAAACTCAGAAATGTTGACAATCGCAATGATGCTCGAAATGTCCCTTATAGGCCTACGTCTGTTTCCGGTTATTTTTATTTTGAAATTCAGTTCCTGACGGACGCCAAAAAAGCCAGGGATTATGGAATTAAACCAATAAATAAAAGCAAGGATAATTGTGTTATTGGTGAGTAAATAACAGTGTGTTATTTTGAAAAGAATAACGAATTAGAAGGAAAAAAAGATTTAAAAAATACAGATTTCAGTATCCTGAGGCTCTGAGCCATTTATTTTCCTCACAGACGGCAACAAAAGTCCGAAATTATACGATTTCAAATAAAAGCAATAACTGTGGCTTGATATTGAGTAAGAACATGTTTTTATGAACCACACAGCTTCCGGTCTCCCACGACCCGACCGGAGAAAAAGGCGTGCTGCAGGCAGTAGAAATACATTGCTTTTAAAATCGTGCTGTGCAACACGAAAAAAAGGGGCAAATCGTGTTGGTGAACACGAATCAATAGATTAAAAATCGTGTTGGTGAACACGAAATGCCGTGAGACTGGGTTGTAATATATGTGTACATATATATTTAAGAAGTACAATATAAGACAAGTTTCATTTGTGGGTCATATTTCATTAGCCTTTCAGAATGAGCTGAGGGCCGCATTTGGCCCCCGGGCCACAGTTTGGACACCCCTGGTCTAGAGACTAAAAACATCCCATAAGAACAGACCCCCTTTCTCACTCGTCTGTAAAACCCCGTCTGTCTGTTAGAGAGCTGATACTAAAGTGTGGCTTTGCAGGTTCAGCTGTTCTTCTGCAGCTGATGGAAGAATGGAAGAGCCTGCAGTCAGTGGGAAACATCACTGATCTGTTTCCCCAGAGAGAGAAACACCTCCCTGAGTTTCATACCATACTGCTGAACCAGCAGAGACCCCTCACTGACCTGAGGGTCTCCAGTCTGCAGTCTGGACTCTCCAGAAGATCTCTCAGCAGCTTCACATCTGAATCCTTCAGATCGTTGTTACTCAGGTCCAGATCTCTCAGATGGAGGTTGGACTTCAGAGCTGAGGCCAGAGCAGAACAGCTGATCTCTGACAAACTGCAGCCCCACAGACTGAATACAGAAAACATGATGAGGATAAAATCAGTTTATAAATCAGATGTTTCTCAACATTTAAATGAATGGGAACAAAAACATGTCTTCTTCAGAAAGTGAACTTTGTTAAAGTCAAACTAATATCACTTCAGATGAACTTTATTCAGACGCTATCGTTTACTAAATATTAAAAACATAGATTTACTTTTTACAAATAACATCTATTACAGTTCCTTCAAGAGTCAGACGACATTTCAGTCTGCAGTTCTTACTTTAGTAGCTACAAATGAAAGTATGAATAAAACAGCATTTTCAACTGAATGGATGTTAGTTAATGACGTAGAAGAATCAGGATGAAGATCTGATGAAACCTGAGATCTCCAGCAGGAACAGAGAGTCAGTGAACTGACCTGAGGGTCTGCAGTCTGCAGTCTGGACCCTCCAGAAGATCTCTCAGCAGCTCCACTCCTGAATCCTTCAGAGCGTTGTGACTCAGGTCCAGATCTCTCAGATGGAGGTTGGACTTCAGAGCTGAGGCCAGAGCAGAACAGCTGATCTCTGACAACCTGCAGCTCCTCAGTCTGAATAAAGAAAACATGATGTAAGTTTAGAAAACAAAGTTCCTGTTTGAAATAACTCCAGGTTTAATAATCTGCTCAGAGTCAAACAGGGTTTCAAAGGTCTCCTATCAGGCTATCTTTAGCAGATATTCTGGGTCTCAGATTTATAACAATATATAAAAACATCTCTATGAAGTGTTTTGCTCCAAATACCAAACAGATCATGCATTTCAGAAATCCCTCACATCCCTCTGTTCCAGCTGTTAGAGAAGAGCAGGTTCGGGTCCTTAGCTTAAAGAGAGGAGGGGGAGCTAATGCCTGATCAGAATTACCCGGCAGACTCAGCTAAACGCTGCCGTGATTAAACGCCATCATGTTCCAAACCACATCAAGGATCCTCTCTGAAACAGGATGGAGCTCAAACTCTTTCTCTCTCTCAGGTTTACCACAAGGTGACTTCCTTTTGACTTCCTGCTTCTTCACACACACTCTCTCCAGCACAGGTTAGCTCTGAGTGTTAGCATGCTAATGTAAACACAGACCAGATTACTTCCAGAACACGTCTCATTGTTTCTGACAGCAACGTTTCTGATTGGCCCGTGGGGGAAAAGCCCGCCCACATTTTAGTAATGTGGTCATGACGCAGCAAATCTGGATCAGCTCCGTTGTTCCCCGTTTTTAGAGATGAGGGTACGGAGGAGAAGAGAGAGGGGTTTGTTCCTGATACTTTGAGAGTCTCCTGACTCACCGGGGGGACACGGGGACACACAGAGGACACACCGGGGACACACGGGGGACAGAGGACACACGGGGGACACACGGGGGACACCGGGGACACACCGGGGGGACACCGGGGGGACACCGGCGGGGACACACCGTGGACACACCGGCGGGGACACCGGGGATACACGGTGATGTAGAGAGGACATCAGAAAGTGCATTCTTCATGATAGGTCCTCTTTAATGTCAGAGCTGATGCAGAAACAATCCACTGATGATCTGGAACTCTAACTTTGATCAGATGTTCATCAACTCCTTCCTCTCCCTCACAGATCCTCAGCACTGACAGCATCTCCACTGACTCCTGGAGCTCAGGGTGAGTCTGTGGAAGCTCAGACTCTCTCCCTCACACATTCACCTTCTCTCTGTTACTCTGATCAATATGCAGTCATTAGCAAAGAGGAACAAATAGTTTAAATGTATTTGTTCAAATTCAGAAAATCATAAACACAAGCAGATGAAGTTCAGTCAGTGAACTGACCTGAGAGCCTCCAGTCTGCAGTTTGGACTCTTCAGTCCAGAACTCAGACGCTCCACTCCTGGATCCTTCAGAGCGTAGTTCTGACTCAGGTCCAGATCTCTCAGGTGGGAGGAGTCAGACTTCAGAGCTGAGGCCACGACTTCACATTCAGCCTCTGAGAGTCCACAGCCAGCAAGTCTATAATAACACATATATTACAACATGTGTTAAAAAGAGGAAACATATTGACCTCAAGCATTTGATGAAAACATATTTGACATGTTCTGATTGAGATTTGCTGTTTGTCCATTTTATAAATAATAATATATAATAACAGTGTAATGTGTTGTCAGTGTGATCTGATCACATGTCTGTCACTGACTGTTACCTAAGAAACAGAAGTTAAATAAATCACTTGATGATATTAGAGAAGTAGATATTTAAATGTTAATTCATATCTGGATGTGAATGATGGATGTTTTGTCTTCTCTGAGCATCTGGAAATGAACTGCGCACACAAACACAATTAACCAATAAAGTTTCAATATTTCAAACTGAATACCATCAGATGTTCTCACTGTATGAGCATTAAGACATAACTCTGATATAGATCTGATTTTAAACTCTAACACATTGTGATAACATCGTGTGTGTTTAAAGGTGGGGTAGGAAGGTCTGAGAAACCGGCTCGAGATACACTTGTTGTTATATTCCATGGAATGCTCTTAACATCCGATAGCAATGAATATCTGAAGTGCTTTGAAGCCGTGGCGCTGTAGAAAAGCACGACCAATCATCTGAGCCGGCTAAAGTAACTGGATGGCCTACCTGCCTGTCAGCCTCCCATCGGGGCACAAACTGATCTCGTGCCCTCATTGGTCATGTGCGCGTTCGTGTGTGTTGGAGGAGGGGCTCTGTGAGGAAGTGGCAGATTTTCTCCGGTCGTGTATTTTCAAATTCTAGCGCACTCGAGCTGCTTTCTCCAAACTTACCTACCCCACCTTTAATGATAAAGAAACTACTAGAAAGTGATAATAACTGATAACTGTAAGTCCTGCTGTGAGGTGTGATCAATCGCCTCTCAGTATTTAAACAGCAGAAATGTTATCGTGTTTATTTGAATAATTAAACTCCTGATTCACTTTAGTTTATAAAGTGAATCACATCTGGACTCACTTGGCCTTCCTGCAGTTCCTCACAGCTGGAATCAGTCTCTGTTTCCCCTCCTTTGATGTTTTGTACTGACTCAGGTCCAACTCATCCAGAACCTCCTCTGACATCTGCAGCATGTAGGCCAGAGCAGAGCAGTGGATCACAGAGAGTTCCTTTGATCTGTTCCCTGACTTCAGGAACTCTGTGATCTCCTGATGTACTGAGAGGTCCTTCATCTCTGTCAGACAGTGGAAGATGTTGATGCTCCTGTCAGGAGAGATTTTTGTTCTCTTCTCCTTCAGGTTGCTGATGGCTCTCTGGATGGTTTCTGGACGGTTGTCTGTGCGACCCAGCAGGCCTCCTAACAGTCTCTGGTTGGACTCCAGAGAGAGGCCGTGGAGGAAGCGGACAAACAGGTCCAGGTGGCCATTTCTACTTCTGAGGGATTTCTCCATGGCTCCTTTTAGGAAGACATCCAGGGATGGGTACTCCTGATCTCTGCTGTTACTGTTCTTATAGGGCCAGTCTCTCTTCAGGAAGTCCTTCAGTACCGCTGTGTCTCTGTTGGTGTAACAGTGGAACAAGTAGACTGCAGCCAGGAACTCCTGAATGCTCAGATGAACAAAGCAGTAGACTGTTTTCTGGAAGATCACACTCTCTCTTTTGAAGATCTCTGTGCAAACTCCTGAGTGCACCAAGGCCTCGGTGACACCAAGACCACAGCGCTGCAGGTCTTCTTGGTAGAACATGATGTGTCCTTTCTCCAGATGTTCAAACGCCAGCCTCCCCAGCTTCAGGAGAAGCTCCCTGTCAGCCTCCGTCAGCTGCTGTGGACTCGTCTCATGTCCCTCTTCATACTTCTGCTTCTTCCTCTTGGTCTGGACCAGCAGGAAGTGAGAGTACATGTCAGTGAGGGTCTGGGGCAGCTCTCCTCTCTGGTCTGTAGTCAACATGTGGTCCAGAACTGCAGCAGTGATCCAGCAGAAGACTGGGATCACACACATGATGTGGAGGCTCCTGGAGCTCTTGATGTGAGAGATGATTCTGCTGGACAGGTCTTCATCACTCGATCTCCTCCTGAAGTACTCCTCCTTCTGGGCGTCAGTGAAGCCTCGTACTTCTGTTACCCTGTCCACACACTCAGGAGGGATCTGATTGGCCGCTGCAGGTCTGGAAGTTATCCAGACGAGAGCCGAGGGAAGCAGCTTCCCCCTGATGAGGTTTGTCAGCAGCACGTTGACTGAGGACTGCTGTGAGACATCAGACACAACCTCATTGTTTCTGAAGTCCAGAGAAAGTCTGCTTTCATCCAGGCCGTCAAAGATGAGCAGCACTTTGCAGACAGCCAGCTGCTCTGCTGTGACCTTCTGTAAGGTTGGATGGAAAACATGGAGCAGCCTGAGAAGACTGTACTGCTCTCCTTTGATCAGGTTCAGCTCCCTGAAGGAGAGCGGGATCACCAGACTGACATCTTGGTTCCCCAAACCCTCGGCCCAGTCCAGAGTGAACTTCTGCACTGAGAAGCTTTTTCCTACTCCAGCGACTCCGTTGGTCAGGACCGCTCTGATGAGAGTCTGCTGGTCAGGTAAGGCTTTAAAGATGTCCTGGCACTTGATTGGAGTGTCATGGAGGGGCTTCTTCTTGGAAGCTGTCTCCAGCTGCCTCACCTCATGTTGGGTATTAACCTCTTCACTCAGGCCTTGTGTGATGTAGAGCTCAGTGAAGATGCTGTTGAGGAGGGTTTCACTTTGATCAGTTCCTTCAGCCACACGTTCACATCTCCTCCTCAGACTGAGCCGATGTTCATCTAGAACCTCCTGCAGACCACGTTCTGCTGGAAGAGAAGCAAACAGGAGAGAATCAGGAACATGCTTTTGAGAATCTAACAATAAAACTAATTTAATAAAAAGTTTAAATGTTTTATAAACATTTTAATGTCTTTGCTCTTCAACAGAATAGCTAATAAAAAAACAAATGAACCAGGAAGAGGAATAAGACGCTGCATGAGTTCGGCCTCTTACCTCGTACAGAGCTGGTCTGACTGGCTGTCTGCAGGCCAGCTCTGGTTCTGGGTCTTTCTCCACACTGGGGACAGGAGGGGTCTCCTGATGGAGGTCTCTGCTCCCAGTATGAGGCGATGCACTGTTTGCAGAACCAGTGTCCACAGCTGGTAGAGACTGGATCCTTCAGGACGTCCTGACACAGAGCACAGCTGGACAGCGTCTCCTCCACAGGAACACCACTCTTCCTCTTCCCTCTGTGGAGAGGACACATCCTTTACAGCACTTTACTTTAGGGGAGCTGATTCTCATAGTTTAGAGCAGTGGTTCTCAACTGGTCAGACCTCGGGACCCACTTTTTACTTGGTCAATACATTGCGACCCAACATTTTTGAAGCACTCAAATCTATTCAACAAAAAAACGTGCTGTAATATATACGCTTTTCAGCATACAATATTAATTCAAGTGAAGTACAGTGCATATATCCCTGATATCTCTTAACAGAACTAAAGTATGCTTTTAAAAAAGGTTTAATGAGATGATGGAATCAAAGCTGAACTATATAAAAAGGCCCACATGCTGGAAACCCAACCCCAGCAAGGGGTCTGGGGGGATTCTCCCCCAGGAGATTTTTTGAAATACTAACATATAAACTACCCATTCTGGTACTCTCTGAGAAGAAAATAAATAAATCTATTACTACCCGACATATTAATAATATTTGATGCCATTGTTTGTGTTTCACTTTGTTCTGACATCTTGATGCTCCTCACAGAGAGAAGAGCAAAGAGGAGAGAGTCTGTGACTGACTTTGTGGGTAAGGGTAGATAGCCCCCATTGTTCTGTGACCTGTCAGTCATCAAACCGGGGGTCATATTTCATTATCTGTTCATTTCTATCTGAAGTTGTACCCATGGATGTATAAAAAAGAGTTCTACCGCAAAGTTATTCTCCGTGGGGACTTCCGGCAACACTCTTGATTCTGATTGGCCAGAAGACTCGAAAAAACATCAGCAAAGATGTTTTATTGAGAAGATGACCACTACGTGACAGAAGCTTTCAAAACCGTTCATGGTCTCCGGTACTTCCAGTCCAACGCCGACTGCATGCACATCGTTAGAAAATCGGGCCTTCAAAATAAAAGTTTGACTTTTCCCCCCCTCCCTTTTCTTCACTCAGACTTTTGGGTCTCGACCCATCAGTTGAGAACCACTGCTTTAAAGCACTTTACATTAGTGGAGCTGATTCTCACCAAAGGTACAACAAGGGGACAAATTCTAGTTTGATATTTTAAAAAAGGTCAATATAACATACCCTTGTGATCAGGTAGATAGCTTACAATTCACATGATCATAAAACCAGAGAGCCTCCTGTCTGGATTCATGACCCAGAGGAGCACATGTTCCCTGCATCTACACTCAGCTGTATTCACCTGGTGCTTTATAAACCCAACATAGAATCTGCTGTGAATCAATAGCAGTAAACATCTGGAAAGGATGCCTAAATAACAACAGAATGATACTGAAGTGTGAAAAGTCTGAGATAATGCTTTGTCAGGTCTGTCTCCAACACAATGAGATTAAGCCTCTTAAGCCCTGAGCCTGTTTTTCAGGTTTCAGGCTCGAAAATGCCACCAACACAACAAAGACTATATCTTCACTTCTAAAAGGGGTAAATTAATAATCTTTTCTCTCAAAGCAAGGTTACATCTGTGAGTTGGATGTAGAAGTGTCAGAATCAATATAGATGTTTTTATTTTAAAGTAAATTCAGATGGAACATAGTAAAAACATGTAAATTCTAATGTCCGCCTAAAAAAAACAACATTACTTATAGTGAAAACCACTCTTGAATGATGGGTTAGTAGACTAAAAGCTTTAGGAATCCAAACTATAACATATAATAAGTACCCTGTATCAAGATTGATGCAAAATAAGTGAAATTTGACCTTTTTAGAGAGGTTTAGAAAAATAAAGTCCAGGCGGACTCACCTCTGGGTAATTTGGGAAGTTCCATTTGAACTTTTTCACTGTAAAAATCATTTTATTACTTTGAATTATCACTATAGGTATTCATTCCATCCAAATACAACTGTTGTGAAAAAAATTAAAATAAAAAACATACTCTGTTATCCTCTTAGGCCCTACGGACCCGAAATCGCGTCATTTGCAGGAAACAACGTCTAAGGAACCTTAATATTTAATAAACTATGAATATTTTATATCCATATAACGGGAAAAAACTCATTTAACTGATCTTTTTCATAAAAAAAAAAAAAGAAGAAACACACACATTGCTAACAGTGAGCCTCTGAATTAGCCCCGAGCGAAAAATGCTAACCAATTACTGCACCGAAAATCACTCCTAGCTCCCTTATTACTTATCCTAGCTGCACATCCAACACATCGTTTATGATCGTAAAGACACAGAATCTAACGGTGCCCACCTCAACACTGAAAGATACAAACTCGCGACGTTATCAACAAAAACGTACATCAAAACAAATGGCGCTAGGTACTAACATGCGCAAGGCTAACATGGCTTACCTTCCTCTTTGCCTGGTCTTCAATGGCATTAAAACGATAAAAACGATGATGTAGTTAATCCATAGGTTAATATCCAATGTGGCTGTGTCCCCTTTGAAATGTTCTGATAATCTATAAGCAATAAAACTGCAATTCCGTTATCTGCTGTCCGCTCTGTGCTCCGTGCGCTCTGGGTCCTGCTGCATTTCCTGCTTCCTTACGTAGTAAACAATAAGTAAAGTCTGCTGCGTAAGGTGCTTATGCTGGATGGCATTCTTTATACTTTACGCAGGACCATATCTCTGGAACCCATTGGTCGATTTGGGTAATTTACACCTCATTACATCCAATAGAATCGATGGGCAGTTCCCAAATCCACGTAAATATTACCATTGCGGAAGTAATAGAGAAGCAAACGAAGCATATCTGAAAGTACAAGCCTGGACGACAAAACTTTATACCCAGTCCCAGTATATTGCCATAAATATGATGATGGATTATCAGTAAACATTTCTACGTGACACAAAGACATTGGATTAACCTTGAGCGGCGTTTTTATTCCGTTGAACACAACTTTTGATCACAAATCAAAAAAGGTAAGACGTAATTATTGTAATATTTTTGAAACCGGATGTTGTTTACTTTCTCTTTTCTGGCTGATAGCTCCAGGAATTCGGGGTCCTACAGTGATGACATTACATGTGTGGAATCTGTGGAGTCTCAGCTTTAATCGGATATCTTGTTTGTGCAGTTAAGATAGTAATAAGGGCATTTCTACCGTGAGTGCTGTGCAAAAGTCCGTTAGCATTAGTTAGCATGTTTTCGCTCCATGCTAATTCAAAGGCTTGGTATTACTCTTGTGTTTCTTTTAGCTAAAAATTGTTCATATTGTCAGTAAGCTGAGTTTCTTACCGTTAAAAGGGTATGGAACATTAATAGTTTCATAAATGTTAAGAAGCCCTGAGAAAAAACGGTGGGAGGGGTCCACTGGGGGGACCCTCGGGCTTAAGAGGTTAAAGCTATGCTAACGTTAGCTGCTCCATCCTCACTCAGAGTGACTTCATGAAGTCATAAGTACAGCAGTGTCTTATTGTTAGCAACACAGACAGTCTCTGGTTTAAACAGGAACATGAATAACCCTGATTGAATATGAGCTGCTGTGGAGCTCTCCTCTCTGATCCCCCTCAGACCGTCAGAGACCACAGGAGCACAATCTCAACTCTGACAGGTTTCTGAAACAGAGCGTCACTAACTTTAAGCTCAAGTTGAAATGTTTCACGCTGCACGAATACGCAGGTGATATGAATTTAACATCTTCACTTCCTTCCTGTTGCCAGGCACGGATCTGGGTCTTTGCATTGACTCTACATGTGATCTCTTAAACTCTGTTGTACCTGCTAATGCTAAACACAACCAGCTCACCAGGTTATCACTATTATTAATAACATCTTAAAAAGACACATCATAAACATGCCCAAGTAGTTAAATCATGTTTTGGACGATATATTTCGATTTTTTAAATCAGAATCTATCAACATGTTTGCTATTTAAAACCATTTTATACACAGATACAATGATAATATAATTGCATATTGAAATATCCTCAGATAATGTCAGCTTGCTCTGCTGCGTTTTCCCTTCACAAACTGCTCACATGATTTCATTAAAGATCAGTTTCATATATTAGATTACATCAAAACAGAATCCTCTTCAGGTCAGGTTACAGGAGAAACTCTTACCTTGTGTCTGAGGGTCCAGGTTCATTACTGAAGTTTAGAGGTCTCCACATAGACCCGTCACTCTTCAGAGACAGACAGCTGGGGACTGGAGACCCTGCTCTCTGTCTGTGGAAACAACATGTTTTAAACATCATCAGTTCATCTAAAGAGCAGCTTTTGATCTACTGTTCACCTGATTAAAGATTTTAGAGTTGTTGAGTTGTGATCGTGGGTTTCTGTTGTTAAAATTCATTCAAGTCCAACATGTAGAGTGAGGATGATTTCACTAGTAGATTATTTACTATCTCTGATGAAGACAAGAAGCAAGAGTTCAATTACTCTTTGTTAATGCACTCTACTGGGTTTCATTAAACAGGTTAGATCAGGGGTTCCCAACTTTTTTCCCAAGAGCCCCCCCGAATGACTCCTGTTGGAAGTGGCGCGCAACAGCGGTAATTAAAGTTTTAAAGTCTCAAAATGCAACAACTACCGTCACAAACTGGATGAATGTGAAGTATGTTGTGAAAGGAGGATGAAAGCGTAATCAAGGAGCACTATTGGAGCGACTTTGATGGTTATTGGACTCAGGATTAATTCATTTGGATTCCCGCTGTATGAAGAAATGAAAGGACGGCGGAAGTGGAAACAATTCACAAAGGGATTAAACTGTTTAAAACACATGCTCAAAGGAAGCCGGATTTTGCCGATGTGTTTATGTGGATTCAAAAGTCGTAAATAATCTACAAAATGGAGGAGACCGATCTGATCGGAGCAACTGTGACAAATAATCCAACTGAAACCGGCATGGACAATGACTGTGTTTTAAACATGCACCCCCCCTGCGATCTTTGGTGCCCCCCAGGTTGGGAACCACTGGTTTAGATGATCAGAAACCATGGCTGGGAAGTAGGGGTGCTGAGGGTGCTGCAGCACCCCCTGATGGAGGACAGGGAATCTGCACGTCCACAAGATTAAATGGAAATATAATACAAAAAACCGAATTTTCAGCCTTGATGTAACAACATTCATAATTAGTTAAAGATAACACCCTTTTCCCCCCGGTTACATTTTCCATTTGCCCTGTACGATGGGCGCTGTAATTGATGAAAGTGGGGGATGTTGGCTTATCAGGCGCCCGCAGCTCACAGCCAAAGTGAAAGAGAGGGCGCACCGGTACCGGCGGGGATTGTTGTTAGCTTCTGCTGCGCTAACGGATATAAGAAGCTGTTTCTACAACAAGCTGGAGGGAGAGCTCTCCTGTCAGACTGAGGCTCAGTGAGGTAAAGGACTCTGAGTGTTAGATAGTTCACTTTAGTCTAAGTTATCTCAGTGGCTCTCAAACGGTTTGATCACAATTTATGTAAACAAATATTTCCAAGGCACTCCTTTATAATTATTGGGATAAATAAAAACAGGTTTGAAATCATTCCAGTGTAAACTATAGGACAGTAAACCAGACATATCGTTTAAAACTGGAGAGATTAAAAAATATGCATAAATAAATGTTAACTAGGTCAAATAAGATATGAATGAACAACACAAATAAAATAAGTTACATGTATTTGTTATTGGCTATGGTAGGTTGTTGGTTATGTTCAGATACTTATTTGATTATTAAAATGTAAACCTATCTTTTTCATATGGGTGTTTGAAAGTTGTACCCCCTAGATCAGGTCTCTAGTGATTGGGCTCAAAGTGCACCAGATTGAAGCATTTTACTTTGAAATGTTTTTTAAAATCTTCCCCCGGACCCCCCTGGATGTGACGTCCACCCCCCAATTAAAACATGTTCATACAATACTAAGTACATTTGAAGCCTTTTTATATCAGCTGTCCACCGTGTCAACAGGTTTCTGTTTGTAGTGTGTTGGTCTTTTGTAACGGTTTTTCATTGCCAGCTCAAATCTTGCCTCGGGCAGCAAACTGGTCAGAACCGGCCCTGGTGTCATCCCCACAGCACCCCCATTTCAAACATGTTCCCACGGCTATGGTAGAGACACTACATACAGAATCCTCTTCAGGTCAGGTTACAGGAGAAACTCTTACTTTGTGTCTGAGGGTCCAGGTTCATCACTGAAGTTTAGAGGGTCCCACATAGACCAGTCACTCTTCAGAGACAGACAGCTGGGGACTGGAGATGTGTCCTCTTCGTCATCTTTTAAATCGCTCATCTTCTCCAGTCTGAGAACACACACACACACACACACACACACACACACACACACACACACACACACACACACACACACACACACACACACACACACACACACACACACACACACACACACACCACACACACACACACACACACACACACACACACACACACACACACACACACACACACACACACACACACACACACACACACACACACACACACACACACACACACACACACACACACACACACACACACACACACACACACACACACACACACACACACACACACACACACACACACACACGATATACTTTATTGTCCCCGTAAGGACATTTGTTCTGGACTGTCCTGCAGTTCCGCGTACGATACACAAACATAATAACCATCAAATCCATTCACATATCATCCGCCATGCACCGGTTGAACAAACACAGACCCACATACTGACAGTGGAGACCTGTTGCCCTCATGGCCAACATTTAAAAGAACAGCATGTGAGCGTTGAGAAGCTTAATGGACAGAGGCAGGAATGAGTGCTGAGAGCGGATCAGCTGGTGGGAACCCTGGATCTTATCTGTGAGCTGCACGTAAAGAAGTGAAGCACTCGGTTGCAACAAGTCGCTTCTCCCCGACATGTTTCTGAGCCAAGACAAACAGCCACCCTCAAACTCCTCGTGCTTTGTCTCGAGGAGTTTGATACTCTCTGACTTTAGGAGTTTGTATACGTTGTAAAGCATATTCTCCTCCTCTTCTGCTCCCCATTATGAAAGCAGGCTCTCACTGTGCAGGAGGTGGAACTAAATGAAGGTTTTATTTGTAGTTCCCGCTCAAACAGAAGAGACTAAATGAGGAAGACGTCTCTGTGCTTGTAAAGATGGCGGCTGGTTGTTTTGAGGAAGTTGAAATCTAAACGAGCTGTTTATCTCACAGAAACATGTGAAGAGATGAACTGATGCCAAACAGGGTGGTTTACATACTTTAGAGGTTAACACACACACACACACACACACCTTAATAATGAACTTGGTTAAAATACATGAAATCAGTCAGACTGCAGGCCGCTCTCCATTCTGACTGCGTCACATGTTATGTTACTCTGATGAATGAGGACACAGGAAATAATACAAGTTTACAACACTTGCAGAAGTCTCAATGGACTCTAGGACGCTGAACCAAGAAGTTCTTTTCTGACATCCAGTAAATAATGAATGTGTTAGGAAGCAGATCCTGGCGTTCACACTCACCCTGTTGTTCTCCTGCTCCGAGCTGTAAAATGGAGCCTGGCAGTCTGACAAGTCTGACTTCATACTTTCACTTTCACCTTCCCTCCCCTGACTGCAGCTCCTCCTCTGTTTCATATCCAGCCTCCTCAGCTGAACCAGTTCACATGTTCTTATATCTTATCTTACTTTGTTCAGTGAGATCAAATAAAAGACATGCAGCTAAAAACAAGCTCAACAAAGTTATCAGAAGACGACACAACATCCACACATCAGCGCCCATAGGATATCATTCAATCTGCTTCATATCAAAAACTATGAACAGCGACTTAAATAAAAACACAAAGCTACATTTAACTAATTTACAAGATGTGCCAAAATCAGGAATGAACTAGAGGGCTATGAGGCAGGTAGGCATTCTGCAGAGGTGGGACCAAGTCATTGTTTTGCAAGTCACAAGTAAGTCTCAAGTCTTTGCGCTCAAGTCTGAGTCAAGTCTCAAGTCAGGATGGGCAAGTTCAAGTCAAGTCCTAAACTTTGACAAACGAGTCTTAAACAAGTCCTTATGAGCTTTTCACCAAATGTAATGACACCAACAGAATAATACTTAATAATCAAAGTGCTCTTTATTAGTCACATTAATAATGTAATAATCCATCTTCTCTCTGCTGGTGAAGTCACGTGTGTTTTTCTATTTGAAGAGGGATCAGTAAGGTAAGGCTACCGTGACGGTTTATTGGATGAGTTGGATGTAGAAAAGTCAGAATCAAAATAGATGTTTTTATTTAAGTTTCAAGCCTTTTCAAGGATTTCCAGCACCCGTACGAACCCTGCTGTCTATAGGAGTGTCTGGCAATAGAGAGGTGCAAGAATGAGTCCTAAAACCCCGGACAAGACTTTCACCACTTCCTGTCTGGAAGTCAATGGTTCTCTGAATGTGTTTTGGTTGTAAGCCTCATATGGTTCTATGGTTAACACAAGCTGAACAGATTTGAATTCTACGTCTGTAAAAACCCCACTAAAGGAAATAAGAGTCAAATCCGGCACATATTTCTTCTCTTGTTGAGGTACATGTATTCTATGCTCGGTCCTTGTTGGATAAAACTAATATCTTTCAACATTTCGTCCCACCAGCTCAGCCCTATTTCTTTTCCTTCCTCTTCTGCCTCACAGCTTCTGAATCCTGAAGAAACCCTCGTGGTTCAATTCTCCTTCGTGAGAGAAACAACGGTCGCTTTAAGTACAAGACGAACTCCTCACTGACGTCCCGGAGGCTAGTGAGCGACGATGCAGCCATTTGTCAAACAGTTCATTGAATCAATCTATTATTATTATTATTATTATTATAAAACAGAAAACTTTGGAGCTTTTGCAGCTTATTTTGTAACATCTCCTGATTCTGGTGAAATATAGTTCACAATGAGTTCTCCTGATAATCACAAGATGTGATTGATCTAAATATCACGTCTTATTTCTAGACGTCTCACCGAGCTGATGTTCACTTGATCTATTGGCAGATCTTTTGACTCATTACAGGCGAAAACTCCTCGTTTTCATTATTCTTTAACTTGATGTTGGAGCAGTGTGCCAACGACACATCATAGGAAGTTATACTTTAAGGCTAAACCATCAATTAACTTTCAAGTGTTCAGTGCTCATTTAAAAGGAAGTACTTTCAGGGACGATTAAGACGTTAACTTGGTTGTTTGGGAACAAAACCACTGTTCCTATGGTAACACACATATGAAGGATTGTTTTTGGGTGTCTAATGTCTATACCCCCAGACACCATTACCGTTATAACATCAATGCAACTTGGAAGCAGGAAGCCCGCACCTGAACATCAGCAGGAGAGGACTCTTTAAAGTAGAGACACTACACACTGATATACACCTGAACATCAGCAGGAGAGGACTCTTTAAAGTAGAGACACTACATACTGATATACACCTGAACATCAGCAGGAGAGGACTCTTTAAAGTAGAGACACTACATACTGATATACACCTGGACATCAGCAGGAGAGGACTCTTTAAAGTAGAGACACTACATACTGATATACACCTGAACATCATCAGGAGAGGGACTCTTTAAAGTAGAGACAACTACATACTGATATACACCTGAACATCAGCAGGAGAGGACTCTTTAAAGTAGAGACACTACATACTGATATACACCTGAACATCAGCAGGAGAGGACTCTTTAAAGTAGAGACACTACATACTGATATACACCTGAACATCTGCAGGAGAGGACTCTTTAAAATAGAGACGCTACATACTGATATACACCTGAACATCAGCAGGAGAGGACTCTTTAAAGTAGAGACACTACATACTGATATACACCTGAACATCAGCAGGAGAGGACTCTTTAAAGTAGAGACACTACTGATATACACCTGAACATCAGCAGGAGAGGACTCTTTAAAGTAGAGACACTACATACTGATATACACCTGAACATCTGCAGGAGAGGACTCTTTAAAATAGAGACGCTACATACTGATATACACCTGAACATCAGCAGGAGAGGACTCTTTAAAGTAGAGACACTACATACTGATATACACCTGAACATCAGCAGGAGAGGACTCTTTAAAGTAGAGACACTACATACTGATATACACCTGAACATCAGCAGGAGAGGACTCTTTAAAGTAGAGACACTACACACTGATATACACCTGAACATCAGCAGGAGAGGACTCTTTAAATTAGAGACACTACATACTGATATACACCTGAACATCAGCAGGAGAGGACTCTTTAAAGTAGAGACACTACATACTGATATACACCTGGACATCAGCAGGAGAGGACTCTTTAAAGTAGAGACACTACATACTGATATACACCTGAACATCAGCAGGAGAGGACTCTTTAAAGTAGAGACACTACATACTGATATACACCTGAATATCATCAGGAGAGGACTGTTTAAAGTAGAGACACTACTGATATACACCTGAACATCAGCAGGAGAGGACTCTTTAAAGTAGAGACACTACATACTGATATACACCTGAACATCAGCAGGAGAGGACTCTTTAAAGTAGAGACACTACATACTGATATACACCTGAACATCTGCAGGAGAGGACTCTTTAAAATAAAGACGCTACATACTGATATACACCTGAACATCAGCAGGAGAGGACTCTTTAAAGTAGAGACACTACATACTGATATACACCTGAACATCAGCAGGAGAGGACTCTTTAAAGTAGAGACACTACATACTGATATACACCTGAACATCTGCAGGAGAGGACTCTTTAAAGTAGAGACACTACATACTGATATACACCTGAACATCAGCAGGAGAGGACTCTTTAAAGTAGAGACACTACATACTGATATACACCTGAACATCAGCAGGAGAGGACTCTTTAAAGTAGAGACACTACATACTGATATACACCTGAACACCAGCAGGAGAGGACTCTTTAAAGTAGAGACACTACATACTGATGTACACCTGCACATCAGCAGGAGAGGACTCTTTAAAGTAGAGACACTACATACTGATATACACCTGAACATCAGCAGGAGAGGACTCTTTAAAGTAGAGACATACATACTGATATACACCCTGAACATCATCAGGAGAGGACTCTTTAAAGTAGAGACACTACATACTGATATACACCTGAACATCATCAGGAGAGGACTCTTTAAAGTAGAGACACTACATACTGATATACACCTGAACATCAGCAGGAGAGGACTCTTTAAAGTAGAGACACTACATACTGATATACACCTGAACATCAGCAGGAGAGGACTCTTTAAAGTAGAGACACTACATACTGATATACACCTGAACATCAGCAGGAGAGGACTCTTTAAAGTAGAGACACTACATACTGATATACACCTGAACATCAGCAGGAGAGGACTCTTTAAAGTAGAGACACTACATACTGATATACACCTGAACATCAGCAGGAGAGGACTCTTTAAAGTAGAGACACTACATACTGATATACACCTGAACATCTGCAGGAGAGGACTCTTTAAAGTAGAGACACTACATACTGATATACACCTGAACATCAGCAGGAGAGCACTCTTTAAAGTAGAGACACTACATACTGATATACACCTGAACATCAGCAGGAGAGGACTCTTTAAAGTAGAGACACTACATACTGATATACACCTGAACATCAGCAGGAGAGGACTCTTTAAAGTAGAGACACTACCTACTGATATACACCTGAACATCTGCAGGAGAGGACTCTTTAAAGTAGAGACACTACATACTGATATACACCTGAACATCAGCAGGAGAGGACTCTTTAAAGTAGAGACACTACCTACTGATATACACCTGAACATCAGCAGGAGAGGACTCTTTAAAGTAGAGACACTACACACTGATATACACCTGAACATCAGCAGGAGAGGACTCTTTAAATTAGAGACACTACATACTGATATACACCTGAACATCAGCAGGAGAGGACTCTTTAAAGTAGAGACACTACATACTGATATACACCTGGACATCAGCAGGAGAGGACTCTTTAAAGTAGAGACACTACATACTGATATACACCTGAACATCAGCAGGAGAGGACTCTTTAAAGTAGAGACACTACATACTGATATACACCTGAATATCATCAGGAGAGGACTGTTTTAAAGTAGAGACACTACTGATATACACCTGAACATCAGCAGGAGAGGACTCTTTAAAGTAGAGACACTACATACTGATATACACCTGAACATCAGCAGGAGAGGACTCTTTAAAGTAGAGACCACTACATACTGATATACACCTGAACATCTGCAGGAGAGGACTCTTTAAAATAAAGACGCTACATACTGATATACACCTGAACATCAGCAGGAGAGGACTCTTTAAAGTAGAGACACTACATACTGATATACACCTGAACATCAGCAGGAGAGGACTCTTTAAAGTAGAGACACTACATACTGATATACACCTGAACATCTGCAGGAGAGGACTCTTTAAAGTAGAGACACTACATACTGATATACACCTGAACATCAGCAGGAGAGGACTCTTTAAAGTAGAGACACTACATACTGATATACACCTGAACATCAGCAGGAGAGGACTCTTTAAAGTAGAGACACTACATACTGATATACACCTGAACACCAGCAGGAGAGGACTCTTTAAAGTAGAGACACTACATACTGATGTACACCTGCACATCAGCAGGAGAGGACTCTTTAAAGTAGAGACACTACATACTGATATACACCTGAACATCAGCAGGAGAGGACTCTTTAAAGTAGAGACATTACATACTGATATACACCTGAACATCATCAGGAGAGGACTCTTTAAAGTAGAGACACTACATACTGATATACACCTGAACATCATCAGGAGAGGACTCTTTAAAGTAGAGACACTACATACTGATATACACCTGAACATCAGCAGGAGAGGACTCTTTAAAGTAGAGACACTACATACTGATATACACCTGAACATCAGCAGGAGAGGACTCTTTAAAGTAGAGACACTACATACTGATATACACCTGAACATCAGCAGGAGAGGACTCTTTAAAGTAGAGACACTACATACTGATATACACCTGAACATCAGCAGGAGAGGACTCTTTAAAGTAGAGACACTACATACTGATATACACCTGAACATCAGCAGGAGAGGACTCTTTAAAGTAGAGACACTACATACTGATATACACCTGAACATCTGCAGGAGAGGACTCTTTTAAAGTAGAGACACTACATACTGATATACACCTGAACATCAGCAGGAGAGCACTCTTTAAAGTAGAGACACTACATACTGATATACACCTGAACATCAGCAGGAGAGGACTCTTTAAAGTAGAGACACTACATACTGATATACACCTGAACATCAGCAGGAGAGGACTCTTTAAAGTAGAGACACTACCTACTGATATACACCTGAACATCTGCAGGAGAGGACTCTTTAAAGTAGAGACACTACATACTGATATACACCTGAACATCAGCAGGAGAGGACTCTTTAAAGTAGAGACACTACCTACTGATATACACCTGAACATCAGCAGGAGAGGACTCTTTAAAGTAGAGACACTACCTACTGAAATACACCTGAACATCAGCAGGAGAGGACTCTTTAAAGTAAAGACACTACATACTGATATACACCTGAACATCAGCAGGAGAGGACTCTTTAAAGTAGAGACACTACATACTGATATACACCTGAACATCAGCAGGAGAGGACTCTTTAAAGTAGAGACACTACATACTGATATACACCTGCACATCAGCAGGAGAGGACTCTTTAAAGTAGAGACACTACATACTGATATACACCTGAACATATGACCTAATCACTCAAAATCAGTGCTGGGTCAAAGAACTACACTGGCTGCATAGGACACACCTCTTTTTATTGTATTTTAATACTCCAAATATGTTTATATTAATAATTGTATGTGAAAATTAGCTTATTTCTTCAATAACTAATGACTCAAAATCACTTTATGAATTGAATACAAGTCTGTACACAATAGAAACAGCTCTTTATATCGGATAATATTACATCCTCTATTTAATATTAATATTTCTATAAAAAAATGCAGGTTTTTTTCTAGAGCTTCCCTGTCATGTGACCCAGTGATTAATGATCAGAAAGTAATACAAACAAGCTACACAGGACACATGTTTTACTAATCGTCATCATTGAGCACATTTCAAGTATTACTTGCACAAAGGACAATTCCAATATCCTGTCTCTGCCTTTTTAAAGTCTCTGTTGTCCATTGCAGGCACTGGCACATTATAGAAGACATCCACCCTTGACTAGAATGCCTCCCAAAACCTTTGAGTATTGATATAGACCGGTCCTATTATTGGAATTTTGAGATATGTTTTGTCAATTAAACTTTCTGTGTTCAAGTGAATACTACATTAGTGTTAAATAACTGTTAATTTAAGTTCAGCAATGTTGTGTCATAATCCAATTGTTGTCAGTTGTGAAAAATACAATAAACAACAACATGATATCGGCAATATACTGTATATCGTCCATTGGCCAACCTGCCTGCTAAATATGATGGGGATCAGCATCGGCCTTTAAAAAACCTTTATCGGTCAACAACTACTTTTGACAGCTTTTTTAATCCGCCCTTGCATTAAACTGTCTTTCACATTAAAAACTCTGCTTGTTAACTGGATGAAAACAGAATCTCTTCAGCTCACCTTCACAACAACGACACCACAGCTACATCCATCCGTTTGAAGTGGGTGGCCCATAACGCCTCCCTTCCACTTAACATCCACCCAGTCTGTTATGCTGTGGCGTGTCCTCCTCATCCTGAAGTGCTCCCTGAGAAAGGATCATGTTAACACACTTTACATTTCTAATGATGTGGCTCCTAAAGATAATGTAACAGAAATTCATACTGTTTGTATTCACCATATGACCATTTATTTATATAAGGGGCAGCCACAGGTCAGCTATAGATATCACTGTCTGAACACAGACTGTATCAGACTGTTTAAAATGCGTTCAATGCTGTGTGTGAGTATCAATGTAACTAAATGTGACACATTTTTTACATTTAAATATAGTTTTTACTTGAATTTTCAAATATCTATTGAATTTTGATTTACTGTATTCTTTTGGCAGCATGTTCGGAGTCATCAAGCTCTTTGATGCTTTGAGCTGGATCCACCAGGAATACGGTGCTGGTTTTGGCATGAATGTACTGTGAGAGAACAAAACAAGTAAAAGCACTTTTCATCAAAAAAGATGTTTGGCTTCACTCTGTAAGTCTTGTGCTTTAACAGAAATAATACAATGACAAAATAATTACAAACCAGCAACTTCCAGTGGTTGTTGTTGACAAGTACAAAGGACAGGACAGCTTCATAGTTGTCAAAGTTGACCTATAATGGCATCAAATAAAGGATTAAAACAAACTTGAAGGCTAAGGTAAAAATAACAACAACATTAGTCTGACAATGATGTTCTTGTGCCATTCATTTGTTGTGCTTAAAACAAGTGTTGGTATGGGAATTCAATAGTAAGTAGATTTATCAGGTGATTTAACTAATGAGTATAGTTTCAGAGAGGATAAAGTAAAATAATCTCAGCTAATTTCCTATTTAAGACCTCAGCCAATGCTTCACTCCATGTAGGCCTACCTAATGTGTGAGTGTGAGCCCACAAATCAAATCCACACCTACTTCCCCCTACAGCATCACCATGCACAAACACAACACACCACACACATAAACATACACAGACCACACACATTACCTTCGGTAAACTGTGAGATGTTAGCTGAGTTCTGTCCCCGAACAAAATGACCCAAACTTCTCCTTTCGAAAGGATTGGAGATTAGCTCTTGAACGGAATTGGGCGGGGACCGAGGTCCGGCGACTCCACCTGCACACGAAGCCATTCTCATCCAACTCATCCAACACCTTGGTCACTCACGAGTCTAAAAAACAACTCACGTCAACGCACGTAAGCAACGTGGGCGCCAACGTGAGCGCCCTCGTGACCAAAATATTTGACGGCGCTGATTGGCTGAAATTATGTTTCGGCGGCACAGTTTACTATTGAGACTTTTGCAACGTGCTGGTTGCTGCTGTTTGGCTCGGGGGCTCCTTGCACGGCGCCCGGTAATGATAAACTAATGCCACGGGCAAGGCCAGGCAGGAAACATGTGACTTATCAGTAACTTTAGACATCGTAACACCATTTTAAACGAGATTTTATTGTAATTATACATTTTACTGATACCAATTGTATGATATTTACCTTGTTCATTAAAAAAAAAAAATATATATATATATATATTTAAAAAAAAAAAAAAAATTATATATTTTTTTGTATGTGGGAAGAGGTGGGGCGGCGCCCCTAGCGCCCCTATGGGCCGGCCGCCACTGCTCCTGCTTGTTGCCAGAGGTCTAAAGCTTTCTTTGTCTTGCCTTTTTTGAAGCGCACCATTTTTAGATCAAACAATGTGATCTGGTTTCTAAAATGTCTTCTTCTTCTTCTTCTTCTTCTTCTTCTTCTTCTTCTTCTTCTTCTTCTTCTTCTTCTTCTTCTTCTTCTTCTTCTTCTTCTTCTTCTTCTTCTTCTTCTTCTTCTTCTTCTTCTTCTTCTTCTTCTTCTTCTTCTTCTTCTTCTTCTCTCGATTTTTGGCGTATTGCAAACAACTTTAAAGGTGCATACCGCCACCTGTACATGAGTGTGAATCACCATATCATCCATGTCTTAAGTCATGGACGTATCTATGATCCAATAACAAAAAAACATGAAATAAATAAAACAAAATAAAAAACCTATGATCTTTCCTGACCTAATGTTAAATTATTTGTCCTACCCCAGTTTCCCTCAGGAAGGTAAACAGTGCCTTTCTGGAGCTCTCTCTCCTTTTGTTCCCAAACACCAACCACACTCCATTCCCTCTCTGCCTCTAAAACGTTATCCTTTTGTTTTTCTCTTTCCGCTTTATGTCACGATGTAATAAGATATGTTCTATGTTCTTTAACTCCACAGCTCCCACACTTGTCGCTGTCACTTTTCCCCATGATATACAGAGAACCATTCAAAGCTGTGTGATTTAGTCTGAGTCTAGCTATCATGATGTCCTCCCTTCTGTTTCTTTCTTTATAAATATTAATTGTAATTGTCTTTTGAACTTTATGACACTCTTTGCCTTTCTGGTCTTTCTCCCACCTTTTCTGCCAGATCTCCATCCCTTTCTTCTTAATGACTGCTTTTCCTTCTCCAACTTGAACTGGTAATGTTATTTCCTTAGTGCACTTTTTGCTAATTTGTCAGCACACTCGTTCCCTTTCCCCCCCAGGCACCCAGCAGACCTGCAGATCTATCCCGCCTCTGTGCAGTCTTAACAGGCTATGATTAAGTTCTATGAGAATGTCTTCTCTGGCAGTTGTTGTTGTTGACTGTATGCTTTTTAATATGGACAATGAATCTGTGCATATCACCACCTTATCAGGTCTGACCTCTTCAACCCACTGTAATCCTATTATTACAGCCAGCATTTCTGCTGTACTGATAATTGATCAGACGCTCTTTTTGAGATCGATATTTTAACGTCTGGGATGTATATATACCAACTCCAACACACTCTTCTTTGTTCTTAGATGCATCTGTGTACATTTGTAGGTAATTGTAGTACTTTTCGTTCAGATACATACTTGTTTTAATTCCCACTTCATTTATTTGCCACTCTTTTTTCCTTTCTACAATACTCTATCTATTTTAGCTTCTGGGAAAAGCCATGGAGGAACACTACTAAATGGGGTTGCTTTTGCAAACGTGATGGTCTCCACTCCATATGCCCTCGTTCTTTCCTCAGCCAAACACACATCCATGGGCTTCTATGTCACATGACAGAGAAGCTGTTAAAACAAAATTGAGTGTGACATTCGGTCACATGACAGAGAAGCTATTGAAAAAATAAACAGAATTTTCCATGGAAAAATTAATTAATATTAACCCTTGTATAATGTTTCATTGTTTATCTAAAGAACAATGATATGATACATTATTTGTTCAACCTCACACTCAATGGCGTTGGCTCATTTTCTGTGAAGAACATATATCAGAACACATTTTCAATGACCACCCACTGTACACCCCCCCTACACATTTATATTACAAACAGGATGTTCGGGGCTAACACAAGTGTGGAAATTGTATGTGTGTGTGTGTGTGTGTGTCTTATCACAACTGATCAAGATGGCCAAATGATTCTCTGCTCAGAGGGCCTTGCAAATGATTTTGGAAGAGAGAGAACCATGTGATGATGTAGTAGAGGAAGGTGTATCAGAATGTGAGGGTCACATTTCTGAGAATTCTGAGTCTGACAGTGACTTTGAGGAACAGGATTAGATTGAGCATCAGCTAGTTAGCAAAAAAAAGACGAGCCACAGGACCAGCCGGTCAGCAGCAAAACAACAAGTAGCACTTTAATTCATTAATCAAGGTTCAAGGTTTTTATTTGTCATACGAACATAGCTACAGTGTAGTTATGACAATGAACATTTTAGGTCACTGGCTCCTCCATTAAAGCAATATGCTCATTTTCGCATACAAATATTAAAATGCAATAAAAAGAGGTGTGTCCTATGCAGCCAGTGTAGTTCTTTGACCCAGCATTGATTTTTAGTGATTAAGTCACATGACCTGGAAGGTATTGAAGAAATAAGCAAATGTTTCCATCAAAAATATTAATAAAACGTATTTAAAGTATTAAAATGCAATAAAAAGAGGTGTGTTCAATAAATGTATGCTCTAGAGTGAATTTGCTTCACATTCACACGATCGAGAAGCTGTTGATTTATTAAAAAGAACATTTTTCTTGTCTAATTGTAAAAGTCATTTGTTGATGGTCCCTAAGTGAAAGCCTCGTTTCGCGGAGAAGATCTCCCCGTTAAACTGACGCTGCTGGCGGGTCCGTTAAACTGACGCTGCTGGCGGGTCCGTTAAACTGACGCTGCTGGCGGGTCCGTTAAACTGACGCTGCTGGCAGGTCCGTTAAACTGACGCTGCTGGCGGGTCCGTTAAACTGACGCTGCTGGCGGGTCCGTTAAACTGACGCTGCTGGCGGGTCCGTTTAAACTGACGCTGCTGGCGGGTCCGTTAAACTGACGCTGCTGGCGGGTCCGTTAAACTGACGCTGCTGGCGGGTCCGTTAAACTGACGCTGCTGGCGGGTCCGTTAAACTGACGCTGCTGGCGGGTCCGTTAAACTGACGCTGCTGGCGGGTCCGTTAAACTGACGCTGCTGGCGGGTCCGGGAAACTGACGCTGCTGGCGGGTCCGTTAAACTGACGCTGCTGGCGGGTCCGTTAAACTGACGCTGCTGGCGGGTCCGGGAAACTGACGCTGCTGGCGGGTCCGTTAAACTGACGCTGCTGGCGGGTCCGTTAAACTGACGCTGCTGGCGGGTCCGTTAAACTGACGCTGCTGGCGGGTCTGCGAATGTCCGTTGAATATCCAACCTAAAACTAAATTCACCGCGGTAGTTAGTTTACCTTATTTATTCTCTCCAAAAGAACCGATAAAAGTAATGTTAAAGGACAAGATAAGACATAGACATACTTTATTGTCATTTCAACCAGACAGAGTGTACTATTAAAACGAAATGTCGTTGTACTGGCTTACAGGAACAGGATAATATAACAACTTGCTAAAATTGTACATATAAATAAATAATAGTGACGTGGTGCTGATAAAATTAAAGATAAAGTGTGCGTTTAAAATATAAAGACTTACTATACATATAAATAAAATAGACATACTATATAACAAGTGCTCTTTACACAGCGTAATGTAATCTTTGTGTTACTGGTCTACTTGCTGTTCAGCAGTCTGATGGCTTGGGGGAAAAGCTATTGCAGAATCTGGCTGTTCTGCTCTTAATGCTGCGGAACCTCTTGCTGGAGGGCAGCAGGGAGAACAGAGCATGGTGAGGATGAGGGGGGTCTTTCAACATGTTCTGGGCTTTTGTCAGGGAGCGTTTCTGAGTCTCTGATGGGAGGGAGAGACACTCAGATGATCTTCTCTGCTGTCCTGACCACTCTCTGCAGAGACTTCCAGTCTTTGGCGTTGCAGTCTCTCGACCAGATGGAGATGTCAGCACGCTCTCTATGGTTCCTCTGTAGAACGTGGTGAGGATGGGAGGGGGGAGCTGTGCAGGAAGTGTAGGCGCTGCTGTGCCTTCTTAAATAGTGATGTCGTGTGAGTGGACCAGGTCAGACTGCTTGTGATATGCACCCCCAGGAACTTGGTGCTGTCTGTAGTCTTCACTGCTGTGCCGTTGATGTGGAGAGGTGGGTGACAGTGCTTTTTGTTCCTGAAGTCGACAATGATCTCTTTTGTTTTATCGACATTCAGGATCAGGTTGTTGGTGTTACACCAGTCTGTCAGATGTTTCACCTCCTCCCTGTAGGCCTGTTCGTTGTTGTCCCTGATGAGTCCCACCACTGTTGTATCGTCCGCATACTTTATGATGTGGTTGGTACTGAACCTGGAGCATAAGCATAAGCGCTATCGATAAAAGTAGTAGTACCGTTAAAGCCTTAACGATACCCATCCCTATGTGGATGTCAGTTTTACACACATTCTGAGGCCGCCGTGCCTATGTTTTTTGTTTTCACTGCTAATTTATGCTTATGTTCTATTAGTGCATTAAAAAAATCATTAAAATCATTAATGAAGATTCAGCTCAGACCCCACGCTTAATATGTCTCCCCCTGGCCCACCTACATTTCTCCAGGCCCACCCACACAATCATTCCTGGCTACGCCACTGGGTGGAGGTCACGGACTCCTCCTCACTGCTGAGGGACACTTGGGAAGGCCCTTCTCCAGCAGAGGTGGAGGCCTCAGCAGCAGTCTGGCCATGGCTTGGCGACGGGCATGAGGCAACTAGGGTGGGAGGCTGGATTGATGGCCTTCCCCCAATTGCCTCATGCATGGCCTCAAACCATGGCCAGGTAGAGGCCTCTCCCCGGTCTGTTCCTGTCCCAGTTGGGGGATCCTTTAACTCCTATTGACACCACAGAGAACAGACTGTTAGTTAAAGGGCAGTGGAGGCTAAATGCACAGCTAAAGACAAATTAAACTAATTCTAAATGTGTAATTGCTTACGCCTTAAATGTTAAAGTGTAAACAACTAAGCAAATTCACACTTTAATATAGGAGGCTGGGGTCGCCAGTTGAAGTCTGTATCATAATATCTACAAACACTAACCCCCCACAGCGCGCAGCCACGTGATTTGCCTTACCTTGTATTCTGTGATCAGGTTGTCCCATTTGTTTGATGCCTGTGGACCAGTCACCTGGCCCTCCAGACCCATCTCTTTAACAACCTGCCTTTAGTTACAAATGATCTTAATCCACCGGCATGCACATTTATTAAAACATTTTAACAGACAAATATAGCTGTACTACTTACTCCCAGCCTGATTTGGCAGCATTTCGTTTGCCACTGAACAGGTGCTCCATCTTAACCCTTGCGTTAATTAGGGCAAGGGTTTCAGCATCTGTGACTGAGATAAATACATCAGATTAGGCTTGCATGGAACAACGCTGGAAACTAAAGCATTTAGACAAGTTATGGCTTAAGAATGTAAAAGCTTAAGAAAGCAGCGGTAATTTACATGATCTTCGTGTGTCTGTCATAATGACGATCGTGTTTTCCGTGAACGACCGAATATTCCCTCGCTTTAAAGGCTGCGGCCGCGAGGCATTGTGGGGCAGCATTTTCCAGTGTTTCCTAAACTAAAGGAGGTGATAGGAAGTTTGAAGCCTCCTTTCCTATCATATTCTAGAGAATCCGAACGGCTCTTATCTTGGCTGCCACTGAGGTACTTCTGGGTCATTTCACTCCGTTAGGAAGGTTCAAAAAGCTTTATTAGAATGACCATAATGACACAGTTGTAGTTCTCATATTCGACCACATGATGGCGACAAATCACTGCGTATATTTCCCAGTGTGGCGTCTTCACCAGATTTAAACGTCTATATTTATTCTGCAGGAAATGTACCTTGTTATGTTTTGACTTTACCTACTTTGCTGTATTCCTCTACACCACCTAATGTTAGAGATACTATGCTTATAGCCTTTTTTATTACACTATAATTATTGGATTAATTTTGTTATAGTGTTTTTTTAGGTTATTGATCAAAAACAAACGATATATATATATTATATATATCAATGAATTAAGTTGCCCAGCAGAATAAAAACCATCATAATTTAACTTAAATTGCAATTTATATATCTATCCTTATTTTGATAGCAGCTCTCTTACAAAAAAGGTGCTTCACAAAACAAGAATAAAAACAATACAAGTAAATATATTAAGGATTAAATAAGAACTCAATAAAAAAAATATGAAATTCTAGTAAATAATATAATAATAATAGCTTGGATTTATATAGCGCCTTTGAAGGGACCCAAGGTCGCATATGTAATTAAAACCCATATGTTAGTACTTTAACTAAATATTGATGCTTATATGAACTTAAGTACCATTTTAAATGCTTATAAAATCGTATTTATTGCCTGTTTTATTGCTATTTTACCTCATTAACATCTGCATATTCCCCACCACAGATAGCATGTATTTAAAGTGGAAATAACTCATAAAGATATCGGGGAGAAAGACAGAAAACCAAGCGAGACATTTTCCACAAGAGAAAACATTTATTCCTCAAAACCCCCGAGGCGTCATTTCATTCAAAATAATAATAACATAAAGAAGGCAAACATTACACCGCGGGTTTATTTAAGGCACAGGATCGATAACAGGTATTTAAAACGTCCAACGGTACAAACCTCACAACTGAACTCAAGTCCTCTTCAAACGGCTGCTCACATTATTCACGATTGGTTCGAACGCCAATCAAAACACTTCTTCAAGTATCCTTCATTTCACACTTTAGCACTTGTTCATAGCCCTAAAATGCCCCTTCACTTACATCCTCGTCAAATATACAGTGCAATCATTGTACTCTTTGCATATGTGCATTCCTTGTGTATAATCAAGCATAAATAACAACAATACGGAGGGCCACCGTACAATTAGAGGTAAACAATCAAATAACACTGCATGACAAAAGAAATGTCGCTACGTTTGTGTTTGTTTCCGTTCCTTTGGTACGAGTTCTCAAACAGAATTGAACAAATGGGACAGACGGTAATAACCAGGTTGACATATTTCAATATAATGCCACAAAGCCCCTGCAAATCATTATATTATCATCTTCTTATTTACATAAAACACCGGAGACAAGGCAGTTAGTGAGTTCAAACGCATCGCAATCTGTACCAGGATGAGGATGAGATGGGAGATGTTGTTGCATGCTGACATGAGTCCTGGGATGACTTGAAAAATGTACATAAATAAATGTGCCCTTATAATATCAAGATGTCTCTATTACAGCAGAAACGGGAGAGTCCATTATGAGAGGAGGGGGTCGTGAATACTTCTTAAGCTTTGAGACGACACGCCGTCATCACTCAGATCATACCTGCAAGAGAAAACGTATATTTAATAATAAGTTGTTTATTAGCTGAATAATTCACTCAAGGCTGCAGATTAAGTGAATTACCATTGCGTCCATCCTTTAGAGATATCCTCCCCACTTAAATCCACAAGTACCTGCAATTTAGAGCAAAAGATGTGAAGTTTTAAGAGTGTTTAAGAGTCGTTTTAATTCAGGAGAAGAACATTTAATAAGAGTTACCTTTCCCAGAAAGCCTTTGTGTTTGGACAGGATGCTTCCTCCGTTCTTCACGGCTACGTCAAGAGTCCTCCTGTGGAGCTCCACCATAGAAACACTGAACTCAAACCTGCAAAGCAAGATCAATATTATCAACCTTTCAAGCTCTTTAAAGAGTCCTTGATGTTCAGGTGTATATCAGTACGTAGTGTCTCTACTTTAAAGAGTCCTTGATGTTCAGGTGTATATCAGTACGTAGTGTCTCTACTTTAAAGAGTCCTCTCCTGCTGATGTTCAGGTGTATATCAGTGTGTAGCGTCTCTACTTTAAAGAGTCCTCTCCTGCTGATGTTCAGGTGTATATCAGTATGGAGTGTCTCTCTACTTTTAAAGAGTCCTCTCCTGCTGATGTTCAGTGTATATCAGTATGTAGTGTCTCTACTTTAAGAGTCCTCTCCTGCTGATGTTCGGTGTATATCAGTATGTAGTGTCTCTACTTTAAAGAGTCCTCTCCTGCTGATGTTCAGGTGTATATCAGTATGTAGTGTCTCTACTTTAAAGAGTCCTCTCCTGCTGATGTTCAGGTGTATATCAGTATGTAGTGTCTCTACTTTAAAGAGTCCTCTCCTGCTGATGTCAGGTGTATATCAGTATGTAGTGTCTCTACTTTAAAGAGTCCTCTCCTGCTGATGTTCAGGTGTATATCAGTATGTAGCGTCTCTACTTTAAAGAGTCCTCTCCTGCTGATGTTCAGGTGTATATCAGTATGTAGTGTCTCTACTTTAAAGAGTCCTCTCCTGCTGATGTTCAGGTGTATATCAGTATGTAGTGTCTCTACTTTAAAGAGTCCTCTCCTGCTGATGTTCAGGTGTATATCAGTATGTAGTGTCTCTACTTTAAAGAGTCCTCTCCTGCTGATGTTCAGGTGTATATTAGTACGTAGTGTCTCTACTTTAAAGAGTCCTCTCCTGCTGATGTTCAGGTGTATATCAGTATGTAGTGTCTCTACTTTAAAGAGTCCTCTCCTCCTGATGTTCAGGTGTATATCAGTATGTAGTGTCCTCTCACTTTTAAAGAGTCCTCTCCTGCTGATGTTCAGGTGTATATTAGTATGTATTGTCTCTACTTTAAAGAGTCCTCTCATGCTGATGTCCAGGTGTATATCAGTATGTAGTGTCTCTACTTTAAAGAGTCCTCTCCTGCTGATGTTCAGGTGTATATCAGTATATAGTGTCTCTACTTTAAAGAGTCCTCTCCTGCTGATGTTCAGGGTGTATATCAGTATGTATTGTCTCTACTTTAAAGAGTCCTCTCCTGCTGATGTTCAGGTGTATATCAGTATGTAGTGTCTCTACTTTAAAGAGTCCTCTCCTGCTGATGTTCAGGTGTATATCAGTATGTAGTGTCTCTACTTTAAAGAGTCCTCTCCTGCTGATGTTCAGGTGTATATCAGTATATAGTGTCTCTACTTTAAAGAGTCCTCTCCTGCTGATGTTCAGGTTGTCTATCAGTATGTAGTGTCTCTACTTTAAAGAGTCCTCTCCTGCTGATGTTCAGGTGTATATCAGTATGTAGTGTCTCTACTTTAAAGAGTCCTCTCCTGCTGATGTTCAGGTGTATATCAGTATGTAGTGTCTCTACTTTAAAGAGTCCTCTCCTGCTGATGTTCAGGTGTATATCAGTATGTAGTGTCTCTACTTTAAAGAGTCCTCTCCTGCTGATGTTCAGGTGTATATCAGTATGTAGTGTCTCTACTTTTAAAGAGTCCTCTCCTGCTGATGTTCAGGTGTATATCAGTATGTAGTGTCTCTACTTTAAAGAGTCCTCTCATGCTGATGTTCAGGTGTATATCAGTATGTAGTGTCTCTACTTTAAAGAGTCCTCTCCTGCTGATGTTCAGGTGTATATCAGTATGTAGGTCTCTACTTTAAAGAGTCCTCTCCTGCTGATGTCAGGTGTATATCAGTATGTGTGTCTCTACTTTAAGAGTCCTCTCCTGCTGATGTTCAGGTGTATATCAGTATGTATTGTCTCTACTTTAAGAGTCCTCTCCTGCTGATGTTCAGGTGTATATCAGTATGTAGTGTCTCTACTTTAAAGAGTCCTCTCCTGCTGATGTTCAGGTGTATATCAGTATGTAGTGTCTCTACTTTAAAGAGTCCTCTCCTGCTGATGTTCAGGTGTATATCAGTATGTAGTGTCTCTACTTTAAAGAGTCCTCTCCTGCTGATGTTCAGGTGTATATCAGTATGTAGTGTCTCTACTTTAAAGAGTCCTCTCCTGCTGATGTTCAGGTGTATATCAGTATGTAGTGTCTCTACTTTAAAGAGTCCTCTCCTGCTGATGTTCAGGTGTATATCAGTATGTAGTGTCTCTACTTTAAAGAGTCCTCTCCTGCTGATGTTCAGGTGTATATCAGTATGTAGTGTCTCTACTTTAAAGAGTCCTCTCCTGCTGATGTTCAGGTGTATATCAGTATGTAGTGTCTCTACTTTAAAGAGTCCTCTCCTGCTGATGTTCAGGTGTATATCAGTATGTAGTGTCTCTACTTTAAAGAGTCCTCTCCTGCTGATGTTCAGGTGTATATCAGTATTTAGTGTCTCTACTTTAAAGAGTCTCTCCTGCTGATGTTCAGGTGTATATCAGTATGTAGTGTCTCTACTTTAAAGAGTCCTCTCCTGCTGATGTTCAGGTGTATATCAGTATGTAGTGTCTCTACTTTAAAGAGTCCTCTCCTGCTGATGTTCAGGTGTATATCAGTATGTAGTGTCTCTACTTTAAAGAGTCCTCTCCTGCTGATGTTCAGGTGTATATCAGTATATAGTGTCTCTACTTTAAAGAGTCCTCTCCTGCTGATGTTCAGGTGTATATCAGTATGTAGTGTCTCTACTTTAAAGAGTCCTCTCCTGCTGATGTTCAGTGTATATTAGTATGTAGTGTCTCTACTTTAAAGAGTCCTCTCCTGCTGATGTTCAGTGTATATTAGTATGTAGTGTCTCTACTTTAAAGAGTCCTCTCCTGCTGATGTTCAGGTGTATATCAGTATGTAGTGTCTCTACTTTAAAGAGTCCATCTCCTGCTGATGTTCAGGTGTATATCAGTATGTAGTGTCTCTACTTTAAAGAGTCCTCTCCTGCTGAGTTCAGGTGTATATCAGTATGTAGTGTCTCTACTTTAAAGAGGTCCTCTCCTGATGATGTTCAGGTGTATATCAGTATGTAGTGCCTCTACTTTAAAGAGTCTCTCCTGCTGATGTCAGGTGTATCAGTATGTAGTGTCTCTACTGTTAAGATTCCTCTCCTGCTGATGTCAGGTGTATATCAGATGTAGGTCTCTACTTTAAAGAGTCCTCTCCTGCTGATGTTCAGGTGTATATCAGTATGTAGTGTCTCTACTTTAAAGAGTCCTCTCCTGCTGATGTTCAGGTGTAATATCAGTATGTAGTGTCTCTAACTTTAAAGAGTCCTCTCCTGCTGATGTTCAGGTGTATATCAGTATGTAGTGTCTCTACTTTAAAGAGTCCTCTCCTGCTGATGTTCAGGTGTATATCAGTATGTAGTGTCTCTACTTTAAGAGTCCTCTCCTGCTGATGTTCAGGTGTATATCAGTATGTAGTGTCTCTACTTTAAAGAGTCCTCTCCTGCTGATGTTCCACACCCCCGCTGTTATATCAGTATGTAGTGTCTCTACTTTAAAGAGTTCTCTCCTGCTGATGTTCAGGTGTATATCAGTATGTAGTGTATCTACTTTAAAGAGTCCTCTCCTGCTGATGTTCAGGTGTATATCAGTATGTAGTGTCTCTACTTTAAAGAGTCCTCTCCTGCTGATGTTCAGCTGTATATCAGTATGTAGTGTCTCTACTTTAAAGAGTCCTCTCCTGCTGATGTTCAGGTGTATATCAGTATGTAGTGTCTCTACTTTAAAGAGTCCTCTCCTGCTGATGTTCAGGTGTATATCAGTATGTAGTGTCTCTACTTTAAAGAGTCCTCTCCTGCTGATGTTCAGGTGTGTATCAGTATGTAGTGTCTCTACTTTAAAGAGTCTCACGTTTGATCGTAAACAGGATTGAGGGTCCTCTTCATCGTGCTCGTCTTCCTCCTGCCTGTTCGACTCTTGTCCGGCAGCAGATAGAGGCGGATGAAGGGATCAGATCCATCTTTAGTGAAGGCGATCAGGTTACTGAGGACACACGGGACAGAACTGTTTATATATCATGTCACATGGGATATGACATCATCTACCTACCTATCCATCTACTCCTCTCTGTACAAAACGGAAACTGTTTTAAAACTGATTTCTCGTAACACTCCAGTAAATATGAACTGGATCTTTTGGTGAACTAGCCTCATCATTGTAAACATGTGGCAACCGTCCCTGATGTTGGATGTATAGTGTTCACATCATCTTTGAGTGGTATGGGTAGTTAAACAACTATCCCCAAGTCTCCCCTAACGCTCCCATCCCTGCTTAATGGTGTTTGTTATAGCTCAAGACGTCGTCCATCCTGAAGAACATCTCCTCACAAATCACTATGAACGACAGAAACTTGGGCCAAAAAAGAAATTAGAAAGAATCCTTGAGAACACCTTCAAAACAAGTCTACAATAAATCTCAGTGAAATCAGATGTGAAGGGGGGGGGGGGGGGGGGGGGGGGCTCATTTGCACCCTTTAAGTTGATTTATTAATTGTTTTTTTTCTTTATTATTCCTTGTTGGCTGTTGTGTTCGTCTTCTATGTTGAAAAAGGGAAGCGTAATTTCCACCCAAAGAAGTCTGTACTGCTGCTGACACTCGTAACGTAAACGTAATGAGATGTGAGAGCAGAGTGTCTCACCGGCAGGCGTGCAGCACCACGATGAGTTTGTTCCTCTGGGAGCTGTGTCTGACCGTCAGCTGGACCTCACCCAGAAGGAACTGACCGGGCGCCGAGCCACTGGGGGGGGGGAGAGAGAGAGAGAGAGAGAGAGAGAGGGGGGGGGGAGAGAGAGAGAGAGGGGGGGGGGGGAGAGAGAAAGGATCAATTATACAGTAGGGACGGGTAAAATATTCATAGAAATACATTGAAAGGAAGCATGCTACCTGATGCTACCTGATGCTACCTGAGGCTACCTGATGCAACCTGAGGCTACCTGATGCAACCTGATGCTACCTGATGCTACCTGAGGCTACCTGATGCTACCTGATGCTACCTGATGCTACCTGATGCAACCTGATGCTACCTGATGCAACCTGATGCTACCTGATGCTACCTGATGCAACCTGATGCTACCTGATGCTACCTGAGGCTACCTGATGCTACCTGATGCTACCTGATGCTACCTGATGCAACCTGATGCTACCTGAGGCTACCTGATGCTACCTGATGCTACCTGATGCTATCTGATGCTACCTGAGGCTACCTGATGCTACCTGAGGCTACCTGATGCTACCTGATGCTACCTGAGGCTACCTGATGCAACCTGAGGCTACCTGATGCAACCTGATGCTACCTGATGCTACCTGAGGCTACCTGATGCTACCTGAGGCTACCTGATGCTACCTGATGCTACCTGAGGCTACCTGATGCTACCTGATGCTACCTGATGCTACCTGAGGCTACCTGATGCTACCTGAGGCTACCTGATGCTACCTGATGCTACCTGAGGCTACCTGATGCTACCTGATGCTACCTGAGGCTACCTGAGGCTACCTGATGCTACCTGATGCTACCTGAGGCTACCTGAGGCTACCTGATGCTACCTGAGGCTACCTGATGCTACCTGAGGCTACCTGATGCAACCTGAGGCTACCTGAGGCTACCTGATGCAACCTGATGCTACCTGATGCTACCTGAGGCTACCTGATGCTACCTGAGGCTACCTGAGGCTACCTGATGCTACCTGAGGCTACCTGATGCTACCTGAGGCTACCTGAGGCTACCTGATGCTACCTGATGCTACCTGATGCTACCTGAGGCTACCTGATGCTACCTGATGCTACCTGATGCTACCTGATGCTATCTGATGCTACCTGAGGCTACCTGATGCTACCTGAGGCTACCTGAGGCTACCTGATGCTACCTGAGGCTACCTGATGCTACCTGATGCAACCTGATGCTACCTGATGCTACCTGATGCAACCTGATGCTACCTGATGCTACCTGATGCTATCTGATGCTACCTGAGGCTACCTGATGCTACCTGATGCTACCTGATGCTACCTGAGGCTACCTGATGCTAACTGATGCTACCTGATGCTACCTGATGCTACCTGATGCTATCTGATGCTACCTGAGGCTACCTGATGCTACCTGATGCTACCTGAGGCTACATGAGGCTACCTGAGGCTACCTGAGGCTACCTGATGCTACCTGAGGCTACCTGATGCTACCTGAGGCTACCTGAGGCTACCTGATGCTACCTGAGGCTACCTGATGCTACCTGAGGCTACCTGAGGCTACCTGAGGCTACCTGATGCTACCTGATGCTACCTGAGGCTACCTGATGCTACCTGAGGCTACCTGAGGCTACCTGAGGCTACCTGAGGCTACCTGATGCTACCTGAGGCTACCTGAGGCTACCGGCTACCTGAGGCTACCTGAGGATCCTGCAGAAAACCTTTTCCTGGGATTGTTCACATGCGAGCTCATGTTTGTAATAACTCTCACTGTCAGTAGGAGTGGATAAAGTTCCAACTGTTTAAAACCTTGAGACCAACATGTAAATTAGAATTAATATGTAACCCCGATGGTGAGACTCAGTGTGGATCTGTGTTTACATTCAGGCAGTGAGTCATTCTTAAAACAGCTCCAAACATCGCTGTCAATTCCCAAATATGCCTGATCACAAGTGTCTTTACTCTTTACTTAATAACAGTTAATTCAAAGCTTAAACGCAGGTTATTTGGCAATTCAAGGTTGCCATTAAGCTCCAACCAGAAGCACCAACACATACTAAGACAATGCGAAAGTGCCCTAGAGCAGCAGAGCCTAAAGGGAATTCAAATATCCAAATTAAGAGCAATACTTAGTAAACATTATTCTGGTTCTGCTGCAGAGGCGCCGAGGCTTTCAAACGCTAAGTACCGTCTCTCCTTGATACTGAACAAATCCGACTGATCATTTGAATCATGTTTTTAACGATGATGGGAATAGTATTCCTGTAATATTGCAAATCATATTACCTTTGCAATATCAGGTAATTGAAATGAGTTCATTAGATCACGGCCCCTGGTAGATCACACACACACACACACACACACACACACATGCACGCACGCACGCGCACACACACAGCAATGAAAGGTGCTTTACAAATACAATTTATTATTATTGTTGTTGTTGTTTACTTCTGCAGCTGTCGGAGCCTCTGCTGGAGCTCCAGGGTGGCGAAGGGCAGCGAGATGTCGGAGGCGAGGCTGGCCGTAGAGTCTTTGTGAGAGAGAGGTTTCTGATTGTTGTTGTTGCTCCTCAGAGGACTCGAGGAGTACGGCTCTCCATCACGATGTTGCAGCGTCAGGGAGGAGATACTGAGGAGGAGGAGGAGGAGGAGGAGGAGGAGGAGGAGGAGGAGGAGGAGGAGGAGGAGGAGGAGGAGGAGGAAGAAGAGGAAGAGGAGACACATCCTTTACTCAAGGGGAAGTACAGATACTTAAAAATACTCTGGTGAAAGTAGAAGTATGTGTTCAACATGTAAGAAGTAGAAAGTAGAAAGTAATCAGAAAAATAAGTAGTAGAGTAAAGTACTGATACCAGAAACATGTACTTGAGTACAATAACGCAGTATTTGTACTTCATGACTTCTCACCTCTGTATAGGAGGAGGAGTTGGGGGAGTGGGAGGAGATAACTGGGAATGTGAGGCGGAGCGTCTTGGAGATGGCGTTGCTTTGGAGGTTTTGGGCTGAGGAACGCTGGACTTCCTGACCTGGACGGAGGACGGCAGGTCGGAGGAAACCTGCTTCTCCAGAGAGAGGATCTGCAACCAGGAGGAGACACAGAGAGCTATTCAAACAAATATATGTGTCCCCTCTTCTTCATGTCTCTTCTACATCAACATGTGTCCCCTCTTCTCCATGTCTCTTCTACATCAACATGTGTCCCCTCTTCTTCATGTCTCTTCTACATCAACATGTGTCCCCTCTTCTTCATGTCTCTCTACATCAACATGTGTCCCCTCTTCTTCATGTCTCTTCTACATCAACATGTGTCCCCTCTTCTCATGTCTCTTCTACATCAACATGTGTCCCCTCTTCTTCATGTCTCTTCTACATCAACAACGTGTCCCCTCTTCTTCATGTCTCTTCTACATCAACATGTGTCCCCTCTTCTTCATGTCTCTTCTTCATCAACATGTGTCCCCTCTTCTTCATGTCTCTTCTACATCAACATGTGTCCCCTCTTCTTCATGTCTCTTCTACATCAACACGTGTCCCTCTTCTTCATGTCTCTTCTACATCAACATGTGTCCCCTCTTCTTCATGTCTCTTCTACATCAACATGTGTCCCCTCTTCTTCATCTCTTCTACATCAAACCATGTGTCCCCTTCTTCTTCATGTCTCTTCTACATCACCATGTGTCCCCTCTTCTTCATGTCATCTTCTACACTCAACATGTGTCCCCTCTTCTTCATGTCTCTTCTACATCACACATGTGTCCCCTCTTCTCCCATGTCTCTTCTACATCAACATGTGTCCCCTCTTCTTCATGTCTCTTCTACATCAACATGTGTCCCCTCTTCTTCATGTCTCTTCTACATCAACATGTGTCCCCTCTTCTTCCATGTCTCTTCTACATCAACATGTGTCCCCTCTTCTCATGTCTCTTCTACATCAACATGTGTCCCCTCTTCTTCATGTCTCTTCTACATCAACACGTTGTCCCCTCTTCTTCATGTCTCTTCTACCTCAACATGTGTCCCCTCTTCTTCATGTCTCTTCTTCATTCAACATGATGTACCCTCTTCTTCATGTCTCTTCTACATCAACATGTGTCCCCTCTTCTTCATGTCTCTTCTACATCAACACGTGTCCCCTCTTCTTCATGTCTCTTCTACATCAACATGTGTCCCCTCTTCTTCATGTCTCTTCTACATCAACATGTGTCCCCTCTTCTTCATTTCTCTTCTACATCAACATGTGTCCCCTCTTCTTCATGTCTCTTCTTCATCAACATGTGTCCCCTCTTCTTCATGTCTCTTCTACATCACCATGTGTCCCCTCTTCTTCATGTCTCTACATCAACATGTGTACCTTCTTCTTCATGTCTCTTCTACATCAACATGTGTCCCCTCTTCTTCATGTCTCTTCTACATCAACATGTGTCCCCTCTTCTCCATGTCTCTTCTACATCAACATGTGTCCCCTCTTCTTCATGTCTCTTCTACATCAACATGTGTCCCCTCTTCTTCATGTCTCTTCTACATCAAACATGTGTCCCCTCTTCTTCATGTCTCTTCTACATCAACATGTGTCCCCTCTTCTCCAAGTCTCTTCTACATCAACATGTGTCCCCTCTTCTTCATGTCTCTTCTACATCAACATGTGTCCCCTCTTCTTCATGTCTCTTCTACATCAACATGTGTCCCCTCTTCTCCATGTCTCTTCTACATCAACACGTGTCCCCTCTTCTTCATGTCTCTTCTTCATCAACATGTGTCCCCTCTTCTTCATGTCTCTTCTACATCAACATGTGTCCCCTCTTCTTCATGTCTCTTCTACATCAACATGTGTCCCCTCTTCTTCATGTCTCTTCTACATCAACATGTGTCCCCTCTTCTTCATGTCTCTTCTACATCAACATGTGTCCCCTCTTCTTCATGTCTCTTCTACATCAACATGTGTCCCCTCTTCTCCAAGTCTCTTCTACATCAACATGTGTCCCCTCTTCTTCATGTCTCTTCTACATCACATGTGTCCCCTCTTCTTCATGTCTCTTCTACATCAACATGTGTCCCCTCTTCTTCATGTCTCTTCTACATCAACATGTGTCCCCTCTTCTTCATGTCTCTTCTACATCAACATGTGTCCCCTCTTCTCCAAGTCTCTTCTACATCAACATGTGTCCCCTCTTCTTCATGTCTCTTCTACATCAACATGTGTCCCCTCTTCTTCATCAACATGTGTCCCCTCTTCTTCATGTCTCTTCTACATCAACATGTGTCCCCTCTTCTTCATGTCTCTTCTACATCAACATGTGTCCCCTCTTCTTCATGTCTCTTCTACATCAACATGTGTCCCCTCTTCTTCATGTCTCTTCTACATCAACATGTGTCCCCTCTTCTTCATGTCTCTTCTACATCAACATGTGTCCCCTCTTCTTCATGTCTCTTCTACATCAACACGTGTCCCCTCTTCTTCATGTCTCTTCTACATCAACATGTGTCCCCTCTTCTTCATGTCTCTTCTACATCAACATGTGTCCCCTCTTCTTCATGTCTCTTCTACATCAACATGTGTCCCCCTCTTCTTCATGTTTCTTCTACATCAACATGTGTCCCCTCTTCTTCATGTCTCTTCTACATCAACATGTGTCCCCTCTCTTCATGTCTCTTCTACATCAACACGTGTCCCCTCTTCTTCATGTCTCTTCTACATCAACATGTGTCCCCTCTTCTTCATGTCTCTTCTACATCAACATGTGTCCCCTCTTCTTCATGTCTCTTCTACATCAACATGTGTCCCCTCTTCTTCATGTCTCTTCTACATCAACATGTGTCCCCTCTTCTTCATGTCTCTTCTACATCAACATGTGTCCCCTCTTCTTCATGTCTCTTCTACATCAACATGTGTCCCCTCTTCTTCATGTCTCTTCTACATCAACATGTGTCACCTCTTCTTCATGTCTCTTCTACATCAACATGTGTCCCCTCTTCTTCATGTCTCTTCTACATCAACATGTGTCCCCTGTTCTTCATGTCTCTTCTACATCAACATGTGTCCCCTCTTCTTCATGTCTCTTCTACATCAACATGTGTCCCTCTTCTTCATGTCTCTTCTACATCAACATGTGTCCCCTCTTCCTCATGTCTCTTCTACATCAACATGTGTCCCCTCTTCTTCATGTCTCTTCTACATCAACATTTGTCCCCTCTTCTTCATGTCTCTTCTACATCAACATGTGTTCCCTCTTCTTCATGTCTCTTCTACATCAACATGTGTCCCCTCTTCTTCATGTCTCTTCTACATCAACATGTGTCCCCTCTTCTTCATGTCTCTACATCAACATGTGTCCCCTCTTCTTCATGTCTCTTCTACATCAACATGTGTCCCCTCTTCTTCATGTCTCTTCTACATCAACATGTGTCCCCTCTTCTTCATGTCTCTACATCAACATGTGCCCCCTCTTCTTCATGTCTCTTCTTCATCAACATGTGTCCCCTCTTCTCCATGTCTCTTCTACATCAACATGTGTCCCCTCTTCTTCATGTCTCTTCTTCATCAACATGTGTCCCCTCTTCTTCATGTCTCTTCTACATCAACATGTGTCCCCTCTTCTTCATGTCTCTACATCAACATGTGTCCCCTCTTCTTCATGTCTCTTCTTCATCAACATGTGTCCCCTCTTCTCCATGTCTCTTCTACATCAACATGTGTCCCCTCTTCTTCATGTCTCTTCTACATCAACATGTGTCCCCTCTTCTCCATGTCTCTTCTACATCAACATGTGTCCCCTCTTCTTCATGTCTCTTCTACATCAACATGTGTCCCCTCTTCTTCATGTCTCTTCTACATCAACATGTGTCCCCTCTTCTCCATGTCTCTTCTACATCAACATGTGTCCCCTCTTCTCCATGTCTCTTCTACATCAACATGTGTCCCCTCTTCTTCATGTCTCTCCTACATCAACATGTGTCCCCTCTTCTTCATGTCTCTTCTACATCAACATGTGTCCCCTCTTCTTCATGTCTCTTCTACATCAACATGTGTCCCCTCTTCTTCATGTCTCTTCTACATCAACATGTGTCCCCTCTTCTTCATGTCTCTCCTACATCAACATGTGTTCCCTCTTCTTCATGTCTCTTCTACATCAACATGTGTCCCCTCTTCTTCATGTCTCTTCTACATCAACATGTGTCCCCTCTGTGGAAAGAGACTCTGAAAGTTTCAGGAACAAAGATTCTCTCTCTTTTTGATCCATTTCTATAAAAACCTGTCTGAAAATGAGCTGATCAGATTATGGCCACGTTATGATGTCATAACGATGTGTTGTCTTGTGTAACCATTAGCCAATCAGCAACCAAGGTAACCCCCCCCCCCCCCCCTTATCACCTGAATCTCCTCTAGAGCTCCATTGAGTTCTTTGTAACCAAATGTCTCTCAGAGGGGCGTGGGGAGGGGCTCCTTATTTTCATCTAAAGTAACAGACAGAGAATCAGCACTTTGGAAACAGGGCTGAAACAGAGGGGATTATGGGTAATGCTGCAATGATCTGTTTGGTGTTTCAGCCAATCAGAGACAGGCTCTGGATATATCTGAGACCTGTGATATATTGATGAACAAGAGGATACTAGGAGACCTTTAAAGTCACTTTTCCTTGAGGTTTCGTTAATATTATTATTTGACAATAAAAATGATTTTCGACTCCGATTGTTCACGTTTATTTTTAGATTTTTGTGAAGTAAAGTAAAAAATTATACCTGAATATTGTATGATAATTAAATGTTACATTATATTAAATATATTTGTAATCAATCTTATAAAGTGGTCCTAAATTTGCTGATCCAGCCGAACATGTCGGGGTATTTTGAGGACGTTGGTACAGCCTTTAAGGAGCCACCCGTCTGTCTTCTGCTTCTCCAGCGCTCAGTAACTGTCAAGCCATTTGGAAACCCGTTATCAATCCTGATGCGCTGGTTGTGATCCAATACAGCAGGAAAGCCATTTGAGTGTAGGTCAATGTTTCGATACGGCAGCATTCGCTTCCTTATCTGATCAGAGGATGATTTAATACAGGAGGATGTTCAGTGTCAGAAAGAGCAATGCAATCAGGAGGTAACTGGAATGATTTAAGGTTGAACAGACGGTCATATTAATCTGATCGGCTTCCTATAACGCCAAGAGTGGTAAAGGGATAGCTTTAAAATAAAATAGGATGTACGAGGTGCTCATCTTTACTTCATTGTGAAACACAGCTCTCTTCCTGAGATGCTGCACATATATTCTTTAAATAACCATTTCTATTTAATGTATGCAGCACACACACCAAAGCAAATGTGTTTTATGTGTGAACCTACTTATTAGTTTAGCATAAGGTGACCAGATTTTCAAAATGAAAACCAGGGACATTTTGAGTTTGGTCAATGTCTCATTAACATCCAATTTTCTTCACTGTTAAAGAAAAAAGGGGGACAATTCTGGTTCAATGTAATTCGTACATTTGAACTGTTGGATTCAAACAGAAGGACGGTAGCTCATATATGAGACTTCAAAGGTCTTTTATTTTGAAACTGTACATCAGATTGTCCTGATTCTCTCTGAGTGACTAGATGGGGTCTCCTGCTATCACCCTGGAGTGAAATAAGTATTTGATTGACTTCGAGTGACTCTTTGATTATGGACGGTTTCCATTAAATAATAATCAAAATATAGATGGACAATAGATCTCATTTGAGATTTTAAACAGCATACATTTTAAATTGTGCTTCAGAAAGTAATGTTATTTTAGGAGTGTTGTGAGATGGTGTCAACATCAATTGAAATGAGTCACCCAGTGGAAATGTCAGATGTCTTCATAACTGTATCCTTACATTTTACATTCACTCAGTTATAATGTGGTGGTTATACGTAGTTTGTTTTAAATTATTATTGATCACATTATATAGTACATATTTCTTAATTTAAGCTCTAGTATATATGAATATGTGTGGTGTGGTTTTAAGGTATATGTATTATTGACCGAGTAAATGCTTTTATTTTGAAGGCAGTTTTTACAGGCCTCTACCGTAATGCATAGGATATTTGCGCACCGCAACACAACGTGCGGGCTGGCTTGACCGCAGTCTGTTTACCCAGTGTTTCCTGACATGAAACGTTTTATTTCACCTTGCTATGTGTTTTTAGCGTATATTAAAAAACGGGGACATTTCCGGGGAAAGTTTCAACCGGGGACAGGCCAATTCAAACGGGGACTGTCCCCGGAAAACGGGGACGTCTGGTCACCCTGGTTTAGCATAGCATAGCATAACAACGTGTCTCATAGTGTAGAATAGCATAGCTTAGTTTAGCATAGCATAGGATAGCTTAGAATAACATAGCGTAGGATAGCTTAGTTTAGCATAGCGTAGGATAGCTTAGTTTAGCATAGGATAGCTTAGTTTAGCATAGCATAGGATAGCTTAGTTTAGCATAGCGTAGGATAGCTTAGTTTAGCATAGCGTAGGATAGGATAGCTTAGTTTAGCATAGCGTAGGATAGCTTAATTTACCATAGCATAGCGTAGGATAGCTTAGTTTAGTATAGCATAGTATATCATGTTATAGCATAGCATATTAGAATAGTATTCTTTTTTATTTAGTGATGATTTAAAAAATAAATAGAAAATTCCTTGGATGTTTAAACTCTTTCTGACTCTGATCTACAGAAGTACAGCATCGTGGCTAAAACCCTTTATTATAGAGATGGAAATAACAGCCTTGCTTATTTTAACCCTCGTCTGAAATCAAGAATTCCTCATTTCAAGTTTTACGAAGGACTTTAAGAGTTCAATCTTCCTTGTTATCGCTGAGCAGAAACCTTGACATCATGGCGTAGGAACGGAGCATCAGGATGAGATCATAATCTGTTACGAGTTTAATAAATCAGTTCCAGTTTACTGCAGAACATTGTGATGAATCAGCAGATCATGAACATCTGTCCAGGATTCCTCTGACTGAACATCACTAAAGCAAGGCAGCGAGAGCAGGCTTAGGGAGAGTATTACAGTGTTAGCAAAACAACGAGATATACTAATTATTACTCTTTTGATGTGATATTTCTACCCTTCATTAGCTCTGATTTGTTAGCTGTGATTGGTCAACCACTTAGAGATGTCCCGCCCCTCGTACAATGACAGCCAATAGGAGCGTGAGTGTCCTGTAGTGATGTCTCTATGTTCCATAACACAGGGATTTGAGCCTTTTCCCCTATATGAACCCCAATATGTTTACAGTTAAGATAAGTACTTTATTGATGCTAATTTGGGAAATGTTTGCGTCGCAGCAGCATAAAAAGACAGCGTACATTAAAGACTAGAAATAACCAATCCAAAATGTAAACATCTCAAATAGAAATAAAATAGCATTAAAAAAGTAGAAAATATACAAGTGGAAATGAGTTAGTGCTGCAGTGATGTCTCTATGTTCCATAACACAGGGATTTGAGCCTTTGCAGACCGTTTACATGCACACACAAACTCCCCACAGGAGAGGGAAACTCCAAATATTTTATATTACTACACCCCAATATTTGTTCAGTTAGTGCTGCAGTGTGTGTGTTTACCCTCAGAGCCATCCTCAGTTTGATGGTGGAGCTGGGTCCGGAGTTTTTGAGAGGAAAGCTCTGAGTCAGCGTCATGTTTTCCTCCGTCAGCAGGCTGCTCAGAGGCACCGTCAGATTACCCAGGGTGCACTTGTGCTTGTCATCTTTCACCTGTGCATTAAGAGCAATGGTGTGAGCAGAGATGTGAAAGTACACACATCCTTTACTCAAGTAGAAGTACAGATACTCGTGTTTAAAAATACTCTGGTGAAAGTAGAAGTACTGACTAAACTTCTTTACTCAAGTGAAAGTAAAGAGGCTTTGAAATGTACTTCAGTAAAAAGTACCCATAACTAGCAGCTGTTTTAAAGAGTACAGGTATTTGGGTTCAACATGTAAGAAGTAGAAAGTACAGGTATTTGGGTTCAAAGTGTAAGAAGTCAAAGTGGTCAGAAAAATAAGAAGTGGAGATGTACTGAACGAAGTATTTGTACTCCAATACTCCCCACCTCTGTGTGTGACGATTATATATATAACATTTGTTTGTGTACCTCCAGCTCCAGCTCCTGCCTCTTCGGGTTGTGGACGAAAAAGGAGAAGCAATCCTCCCAAAGAGGCTCCTTGGTCTTATAGCGGATCTTTAGAGCAGACAGGAAGTCGTTCGTTAGTTAATCACGAGAGAGAAAAGGCTAATTAACAACAGGATCTATTGATGGCAGCTTTAACGATACACATGGGTATTTTCATTGGTTAAGTGCAGCTGAGTACATTTACTCCATGCTATGTTTAACAATATCAATGAGGGATATTTTGTAAAAACACAGAAGGGTTGTGGTCGCTTTGAGGCCTGATTCATGGTAGAGAAAAAGTGCATAAATACACATTGATTAAATAAAAATAGCTATATTCTATATGTACCAGATTCTTCCACATAGTAAGCATGGCATGGACTTCAGATTAAAAAATCATGACTACAAATTATTATTATCTTATAAATTAGATTAGGGAAAACATATTCAAGTATAAATGCCTAAATAAATATAAGAATGATTTAATAAATACAAAAGTTAATAAATAAATAAAATAATTAATTAATTGATTAAGAAAAAAAGAAAACAATGTAATTAATTAATTAAAAATCATAACTTAATAATTAAATACACAAAGAAATGTAGTGTGTTGCCAAGCATGGAGGGCAACACAATTAAGCATAAATGCATGAAAAAATAAATAACTATATTCATAAATAAATAATCAATAAACGAATGAAAGATAAATAAAATAATGAATTAAGTGAGTGCAAAATTTTTTCGAGTATAAATGAATAAATGCATGAAATAAGAAACTAATAAATACAGAATTAACTTGTTCTTGTTTGATGTAAACCGCCACCCACGAGAAATGACTTATTGATGCAGCACAGAATCTCTCAAAGTGTCACTGCCAAAAAATGTTCTATTATTTCTTTTATGAATCTTTGCAGTGAAACTCAAGCATCAACAATGTACCGGTCACCCAAAGTGCTCCTTCCTCTGAAAACGTCAATATCAGACTTTTTCCATGAGAAATATTTGGTAAACTCTCAGCGTCAGTGTAGAAGCTCTAATGCCAACCCTTTATGTTATGTTGGAGGTCATAACACTCATTTTCTTGTAAGAATACTTCAATTCACCGTCTTCAAATACCACAGACGAAAAGTGTTATCATAGAAATCTGGAGGGAAGGACGGTTATAGAATAAGATGTGCTGCACTTCAATAAGTCTTTGCAACATGTATTCCTGCGAATAAACAGCTGTATTCAATCTTTAATACTTGATATTGAAGCCTTACCTTGCTCTCCAGGGTTTTGTGTCCCACAGTGAATTGGACAAAAGGACTGGGCTCACTGCTACTCTTCTTTGCAGACTGTGAGAGAATCAGAGGAGGAACTATGAGACATAACGCACATCATATCTACAGCCAAACATGAGCTTAGCAGTTAGCACACAGTGGTTTCATCGAGCAGGGCTGCAGGCAGACAAGGAGACTGCAGAGCTTTCTAAATATAGCATGCTGGGTTTTGTTCTGACTGCTTGCAGAATAACAATATCTGCCAGACAGGAGCTTAACCTCGCTCTTTTACTTTCATTTGACGTCCTTCCCAGCAGTATTACATTTAAGCTCCACATTGTACACTCAGGCAGATTAACACAAGTCCTCTCTATGATATGCTACCACTAAAGACCAGAAAACCCATTGTAAATGCAGTTGTACGGTGGCCAACAGAACGCCCTAAAACGTCCCAAAAAACCACAGGTTATACGTGAAAATGTGCGTAAAAATACTGTGTTTATATATATATATATTTGTACTTCCAGAATCCGTCTAAGTTAACGCTCTCTTAAACAAACATGTGAGCCTATTTGACTAATTACTTCCATGTATTGCCCTTGTGCTGGCGTGTCTGTAACCAGTGATGACACCTCATTTACATATCTTCTTTTAATTGGTGGAAGCAGACAAGCTGCACAATTTATTTATTTGTTGGTTGGTTGGCTTTTGGAAAGGCTAACACTGGTGTGCATCCAAATGTCAAAATTAGAGACGTCAACAACTGCAATATACGCAAATATTGTCTGAATCTTTGCTCTGAAAGACCTATTTAAGGAAGGATTACAGCCCGTCCACACACAGGCATGAACAAATCTTTCAAAGCTTCGCCCATTCACTTGAATGGGGTGACGTAGAAGATTTTGAATCTTCGCCGAACTGCATTGTGGGGAGCGGAGCATGGCTTTGCAAGCATCGTGAGCATCAAAAGTTCAACTTTTGATGCTCACGATGCTTTCGAAGCTGGCATCAGCCAATCAAATCCCGTTTATGCAAATCCCGCCAGTACAAGCGCTAGCCAATCAAACCGCGTGCAAGCTGGGAGAGCCAGACCGCAGTTCATTTCCTCATATTCCAAACGAGAAATTACGGTAGCAAATCACCCGGTTCTTTCCGACCAGAACTATTTACCGGGATACAAACCGGAGGAACCAGGCATGGAGGGAGGTGGCAGAGACAGTGGATGAAACTGGTAGGTTTTCGCC